CGCTGTGACCGCCTTTTGAGCCCTGACAGCGCGGGGAATCCCATTTTACATGCGGGCCTAGGCGGGGCGCAAGGGTGCCGAGGCCGCGGTGGATTTTGATTTGGGCAGCCCATTTTGGAGGGGATCCCGATCACTGTTGGCATAGCCACCTCCCCTACCAATTTGTCGTATTTTGCAACTTGGAGTCGACATGGCCGTGAATGTTGATGGGGAACACATTTTGCAGGTGGACATATATCCCCGTGCAAGTGGTGTCCACCAAAGGATCTCTAAGAAAGCACAATAGCCACATCAATTGGGATGTTGCGCCAGGTGGCGACACAGGCGATCTGCTGCGCTCCCTCTTCCGTCACGCCTGCCGTTTTGAGGAGGAGCTAGAGTCGCAGGCGCATATGGGTGCATGGCCGAACTGCTTGAACAGCAATCTGCAATCTAGCAATCAGGTACTCCTCTGGTTCTGTTCCCCAGTTCGCTGTTCTTGTCACATGTTTGCTTTTTTTTCTTCTTCTTCTTCTTCTTCTTTATTCTGTTCCTGGCAGAGGGTGGCTGCAAGACTACCTTTGTGAACCACAACAAAGTTTGGTTCCCCCTAAAAGTGTAGATTTTGTTTGGAGGAATGCCAAACTGGCCAACTCAGGTGTTAGAATTACCCTCCCAACGGGACCCGTGCGCTTTCATGTTTGCTGGAGGCTATGTGAAGTTTTGCAGATTGATGGGTGTCAACTCGCAGGTGACATGGGGGGGAAAGAGTGCACAATGCTCAAAAATACAAGTATGAGGTTATTTGTCGATCATGTCCCATGAATTTGCAACATGTTCTTGTGCTGTTTGGAAGCAGATGCTTGGGTTTGCTTGTTCTAGCCACTAGGAGGTTCTCAAAACTGAGATTTGTTAACGATGTTGCTGTTGCCCTTGCAGCGGGGTTGGGACACAAAGAGAGCCGCCATGGTGTCAACCCCCTAATGCTCATAAGCAACTTGGTAGTTGTTGGTAAACGTGTATATGGCCCTCCCAAAATTTAAAGCAAGCAGGGGCTGAAGCTCCTTATTGCTCCAGTTTGTCCTGGAGGAGGTGTCGACCATTTGTTCGCGTCTTGGGGAAGTGGCCGCTTGGAGATCTTGAGCCACTGTGCAATGGTGACATGTATGCATATTTACCAATATATACGCAGTACAGGCGATGGTGGTTTGGGAGCAGTGAACACTCTTGGAATTAGAAGCGGAACCACTCAGTCAAGGGCTCAATAATCCTTGCTGATGCTTAAGAAGGCCAAAGAAAACCAAGCAAGCTTTGAACAGTTGGGACAGATTTGGACAAACATATGATGGACAATGAGAGTCCAATTGTTTGGAGAATCTGCAAACTGACTTCGTGCGAATGCGGGAGGCTACCAAGATCAACTACCTCTTGACTCCCGGTAAGGGGCCATATGGCTGTGGGTCAAAACCAGGGTAACTCCGAAATGGCTTGCCCTGGTAAATGGAAACATGGACTAAAATCTGCATTCCCCTGGTGGCTTAATATTGACCCAGACCCATATTTCTGGGAGGGCCATTTCTCGCCTGAGGGCTTCGCGGCCATGGAGTACTTGGACCTGCGCCTGAAAGCAGCGCCGGACTGCCGGGCGGATGGCCGCTATGCGGCCACGGCGGCTTTGGCTGGAACCGGTGGATTCCTTTGCTCTTGGTGTGGTCATATTTTGTTGGTGTGTTGATTTATTTCCGTTTTTCTTTGCTTGGTTTGGCATTCGTTCGCTGATTTGTTGATTTGCGTGCTTGTCTTGTTTGTTTGATTGTTCGTTGATTGTTTGTTTGTTGTTTGTTTGTTTGTTTGTTTGTTTGTTTGTTTGTTTGTTTGTTTGTGGCGTGCCTGGTTCTTTCGCTGTGGCGTCTTTGAATTGCTTTGGATTGGTTTGGTTTGATTTGCTCAGTGATTGGCTTGCATTGCTTTGGTTGTGTTTGAGTTGCTTTGGCTTGGGCTGGCTTGCTTTGCTTTGATTTGCCATTGTGTTGGCTTAGTTTGTTTGTTCGTTTTAGTATCTGTCTTTTTCTTTGATTCTTTCCTTCTTTGTCTCTTTTCTTTCTTTCTTTCTTTCTTTCTTTCTTTCTGTCTGTCTGTCTGTCTTTCTTTCTTTCTTTCTTTCTTTCTTTCTTTCTTTCTTTCCTTGCTTGCTTGCTTGCTTGCTTGCTTGCTTCCTTCCTTCCTTGCTTCCTTCCTTCCTTCCTTCCTTCCTTCCTTCCTTCCTTCCTTCCTTCCTTCCTTCCTTCTATGTTTCTTTCTGTATTTCTTTTTTTCTTTCTATCTTTCTCCCTTTCTCTCTTTCTCCCTTTCTCTCTTTCCTTCCTTGCTGCTTGCTTGCTTGCTTGCTTGCTTGCTTGCTTGCTTGCTTGCTTCCTTCCTTGCTTGCTTGCTTGCTTGCTTCCTTGCTTGCTTGCTTGCTTGCTTGCTTGCTTGCTTGCTTGCTTGACTGCCTGCCTGCCTGCCTGCCTGCCTGCCTGCGTGCGTGCGTGCGTGCTTGCTTGCTTGCTTGCTTGCTTGCTTGCTTGCTTCGCACATTCATTGTTCTGGTGGCGACATGTGGCGACACAACAGCTTGTTTGTTGGGGGACGAGTTCGCCGTGCCATACATGTGTTGTTTTTGCCGACTGCGACTGTCCATTACCTGCTGAGTTGTCAAACTTTCAGCTCATTGTCTCATGGGTTCTTCAGGCATGGCACGAACAGCTGCGACTTTTTGTGGCCCATCTACGGATACGGCGTTTTTCCCAGAGTGTATCCCAACTGCAGCTAATGCACGAGTTTCACACAATGGCAGGTTCTTCCGCTCCATCCTGCGCTCTAAACCCCCAAGCCCCAAGTGGGGGACTGGCTGTGAGGTGGGGATACGGCTGTTGGACACCTTGACGCACATGGTGGACGTGCAGATGGCACGTTTGCTCACCGATGGAGCCTGGCGCCACTTGCTGGAGGCGGAAACTCGAGAGACCGGTTTGTGCAGCCCAGTTGAAGTTGTGGCCTGTGTTGGGTGTCAATTTCTGGCAAAGATATGTTGCGCACAAGGAGAAATCTAGGGTGTCTCCCCAAACAAACAAATTCCAGGCCTTGCACTCAGGGGAGAGAGCCTCATTCGAGCCGTGGCCCTTAGCGCTTTGCGAGGCGGACGGGGACGCTGGGTGCCTCCGGTACGCGCGGGGTCGATGGGACCCCCAGAACTGGCGGGTGCTCGAGCGCCTGGTGAGGGTGAAGCCCAACAGAGGCGTGTCCTTCGAGGATGCCAAGGAGGCGCGACCCATCGAAGTCGACCCGTCGACTTCGACTCGACTGGATGTAAGGGTTGGGCCAGCTTTTTGGGACGGACTTCTTGCAAATGAACCGAAGAAAACGTGTTGTTGCCAGGTGCTGGTGTTCGGGTCCGAGCTTTCTCTTGTTGCCGTTGACACCTGTGCTAGAAGTAACAGGTCATTCATTGTGTTTGAGTTGGAACTCGAACCTGACATACCGTCGCAAGGGAACTTGTGTGGATTGCATCAACCGAATACCGGTTGCCATTTCGGCGAACATCTTCTTTCACCCATCCTCCGTTCACCTTTCATTGCATGCTTCACACCTGTTCGATCAGCGAATACGTTCGCTGAGCGGACGGGGATAACTTTTGGTTTGGGTACCATTCGTTTCTGCTTTGCTTTCGAGTCAGCAGTGTCAGAAAGACGCTCGAACCGACTCCAGAGATCTGCTTGATTGACCAACGGGGGCTGATCCCACCCATGTCATGAAAAGTGCGCTGCTGCTGGTTGCAGCCGATGAATCTGGAGCGGTTCGTTGGCTCCTGGAGGAGAAACGCTTCTCTTGGGCCTCCGTGAGACCGCCTCTATATAGAGTTTTCACCCGTGCCTTGATGCACCCAAAGGGTTCCTAGGAAGGCACACGCCCGTTCCCAAAGGAGCTGGATGCCATCCTGAAGCAGCCGGGTTTGAGCGCGGCCCAGAAGTCCGCACTCAGCGCCTCCTTCTATCGCCGGCTCTGCAACGCCCTGCGCCAGCATTGTGCACAGTAGGAGCTCACCGGGGTAAACTGCTCGCACCCATGAAGGTCCCTTGTCGGGTTCCGTTTTTCGGGCTTGGGAGTTGTAGCGAGTTGAAGACCTCGCAATTGCCGCAGTCCAACTTTGGTGTGGTTGGTTGGTTTACCTGCACTGTTGAGGGGGATCAACCGTATGCTCCTGCGAATTCAAACAAGCGGCCGTTTTGAGGGCTTTTACGGACATCCTTTTTTGGGCTGTTGCTTTTTAAATGGTGCCTCTCTTTGGCAAGGGATTCAGCGTACGGGGAAGGTCCCAGCCCACACCATGCGCGAATTCAGCGGCTTGCGCTATGTACATCCTTTTTTTTGGGTACCTTCCGTGTTGGGGTGGGGGCCCTTACACCTCCATGTTTAGCAGAATCTCCATTTGGGGAATCCCTTTTTTAGGGTCCGTCTTGCGGAGAATCATCTAAGGCATCTTTGCTTTTGGCTTGCCTTGCTCGTACGGGCCATATAGGGAATGAAGCTCGGATGCCGCACGTCTGGGCCGCACGGATGACCTCGTGCCAAGGCCCTGCCAGACGCCAGCTATGTGGTCAGCGGAGTTCCTGGCGGCCGAAGCCAAGAAGACATTGAGAGCGGCGTGTTCCGGGCGGCCTCGCCCTTGCACCGGTGCCTCGGTTTGCCTGTTTCAACTGGCGAAGCTGGGGCCAGGGTTTCCGAAAGTCAACACCAACATGGCCTGCTGGGTGTTTTTTCTCAAACGCAGCCTCGGCGCTGTCTCTTGGTAAAAAAGAGGGGTCAACGCACCTTAGATGAGGTAAACCAACTCCTCTTGCAGACGTGCCCTGTCCTTTCCGGCCTGAATTTGCATGATACCAGGCGGATCCCGCCAATTTCGGGTTGGCTGCAATCCTATGAGAGCGACCAGTTGGGAAGCCGATTTTCCAGCAAGGCCCACGCAGGACTCCCGGGGATTTGCCTGAGGTACGTGGACCTCCTGGGCATGCGCGCCTTGAAGACTCAGCTGGGCTGGCGGCCCAAGTGCCCGCACCTGCGGCTGCCGGCCGAGGCCTTGGCGCAGGCGGAAAGGCTCCGGAAGGAGCCTGGCTGGAGCTCCCTTGGGGGAGAACCATTCTGGTGACTTAGTCACCTAGTCAAAGAATGTCAATTGAAAATGGAGGTTTGGTCGGTGATGAACCTCTTAGGGGATTCAGACCACCAATGTAAATGTGTTTGGCAAGGAAATGTGGAACACCCTCAAGAATGGTTGGTGGACACAAATCCAAGCATGTATTTTTGGGCATCCAACGAAAAGGTTCCTGCTGTATGGAACCGAACAAATTGGAGAAGGACTCCTCATAGAGTGGGGTATGCTGTGCCCAGAAGGTATGCTGTGGATCTTGATGCTTTGCTTCCATGGGTTCCGTGTCTTGAGCTCACTTGCAACCAAGGCGAATCGACCTGAGCTGACCTTTCGGTTTCCCCTTTTTGGTCCAAGCTGCGCAACTGAATTTGAGGCTGTTTCGGGGAAGCCAACGGACCTCCAAAAAGATTTCTTGCTCAGGAGTGGCACTTGGAGGGAACTGGGGGGGGGGTGCTTATTCATTACTAGGAACAATCACGGTTTTTCATCCACCAACAAAACATGTGCACACAATGCAGCGTCACCTTCCCTCAAGACGGCAGACCATGGTCCGAGTGTTTTGGAAGATGCCCATTCCTTTCAGACGGTTTAAATTCCATGGGGAGGCCGCGGGGTGCCCAGACTCGCAGGTTGCGGCCACCACCAATGCGAGGCTGGCCGCCCATGGATTCGCGGTGTACATCTTCCGCCAGAGCCTTGTGTGAGGGATGTGTCAGGGGTCGGGGCGGGGACATGAGTTTGTCTCACGGATCCTGTGATGGCTTCCTTCTACTTTTGAGACTACGTCAGGAGAAACAGGTACCTCATTCATCGACTCAGCCAGGCATACCAGGTTTCCGTTCGACCAGCCGCCAAAAGATAGCTTGCCGTCCATGTTGCCATGAAACCTAACTAAACGGGTCCAGGTTTGAACCATTTCCCCCTCACGGCACCAGAGCTCCGGTTGGTTCCATGTTGGTGACCTTCTTGGAAGCAGGTATGGTCCCTTCGATCCTAGCACGCCAAGCCGATCCATTGGTTGCAAAAGCACCCGAAAAGATGTTTCAAGAAAACTTGGAAACCACAAGGCTGTTGCTGATGCTCATTTTTGGGGCAGTTTTTTCCTCAACAAGGAGTGGTGGTGTGGGAAGAGGGTAGCGTTGGGAAAGACAAGCAAAGGCCGACATCAAAAGGCAAAGGGGTCAAGTAAAAGAGGCACCAGGCGTCGGGAAAGAAAACACATTTTCAACCTCAGCTGGTCTTTGCAAAAGTAAGTTTCAGCATTTTGGGCGACGGACGCTCATTTCTGGAGATGCAGTTTTTCGCTCACACAGGGCCTGCTTCTGCTCCCGTTCTGGTCCCCGGCTCTGGTTCGAGGATCTCCTGGATGCGCGAGCTCGCGCCCTGCGACGTGTTGGTGCAGGATGCGGTGCTGGGAGCGGTGGGGCCCAGCTACATGGTGCTGCTCATCCCGAAGCCCTCCACGCAGGCGGCGCTGCGCCGCTTTTTTTTTTGGCGGGTGCGGGCACCCTCCCTCGCAAAATGGCAGAGGGTCCCTTGGTTCGAGGCACCTTGTAGGTGCTACGATAGTGGGAGGGAGGGTGCCTTTTGTGGTTGGTTTCAAGGGAAATGCAAGAGAAACACACATTTTTGGGAGTCCCCCCCCCTCAGTTTTGGGACACAGACCCATTGGCTTTCGGTCCTCGACAATCCCCTTCCAAGCAACCACTAAACATCATCACAAGGGGGATTCTCCACGGTTTGAAAATGTTTGGAGACGTGTTTCTCGTGCATTGTCCTGAGAAGTTTTTCCGCAAGTGCACATGGAGGAAGCGTACCTGTTTGCATTTAGTGTCCTAAGACTGGGGCAAAGGCCATACTTTTGGAAGAAGGTGGTTGAGAGGTAAACGAAATGGGATCAAACCATGTTTTGTTTGGGGAGTTGGCCCTCAGGCTGAATTCATGGGGTGTTCCTTGAAAAGGGGGTCCATGGTTCTTGGCTCATCACTGCGGCTTTTCGTCTTCGATTCTTTGGCACGGGTTTTGGCTGGAGTCCTTTGATGCTTGGTTTTGATTGCAATTCCATTTTGACTTGCGTGTTTTATCGCGGGCCTTCTTTTTTGGCTGGCCTCAAAGGGACACTCAAAAGAAACCAACGATTTTGGGCTCCATTTGTTATTTTGAGACACACCTATCTTATGAAAGGAATCGCAGACGAGTTGATGCTTTTTATTTTTGTTCGCGACACGCAAACATGGACGCCCTCTTGCAAGTTAGGCCCCTCGTCTGTACCCGCGTTTTGCGACTCGTCTGTACCCGCTGGAATCCACTCGTTTCTACCCGCGTGGTGGGCGCAGATGAGTCAGATTGATGGCAGTCCCCTATGCTCTAAACTTCACAAAAACAGTACTCACAAGTATCGTGTGGGCGCAGATGATCTTAGGTGTTTTGGGGCTTTACAGCTCTTAGAGAATAAGGTGCCGTGCATGGTTTTGCAACTGCCTGCTCTTCGTTTGGTAGTTTCATGTGTTGGTGTGGCCGGCAGTGTCGTTGACTTGAGTCAAGTCTGCCAAGAATGGCTAGCCTGGACTGATTCGCTTTCACCAAAAGTCCCTGAATGTAATGAGGGGAGCTCCTGGAGTCAAGGATGTGTTTTAGAAGCTTCATTCGGCATGTTGTCAAAGATCCTAAACCCTGAAAGCCCAAAACCCTAAACCCTGAACCCTAAAAACCCTAAACCCAAAAACAACTGAACCCTTAAAAAACCTAAACCCTAAGAACCTTAAACGCTGAAGATCCTAAACCCTAAAAACCCTAAACCCTCAAAACCCTAAACCCTAAAACCCTAAACACTAAAGACCCTAAACCCTGAAACCCCTAAACCCTAAAACCCTAAACCCTAAAAACCCTAAACCCAAAAACCCCTTAACCCTAAAAACCCTAAACACTGAAGATCCTAAACCCTGAAGACCCTAAACCCTAAAATCCCTAAACCATAAACACCCTGAACCCTAAAAACCCTTAGCCCTAAAAACCCTAAACCCTGAAAACCCTAAACCCAAAACCCTAAACCCTAAAACCCCTAAACCCAAAAAGCAACTGAACCCATAAAAACCCTAAACACTGAAGATCCTAAACCCTGAAGATCCTAAACCCAAAAAACCCTAAACACCCTAAACCCTAAAACCCTAAACACTAAAGATCCTAAACCCTGAAACCCCTAAGCTCTAAAAACCCTAAACCCTAAAAACCCTAAACCCTAAAAACCCTTAACCCTAAACACCCTAAACACTGAAGACCCTAAGCCCTAAAAACCCTAAACCCTAAAAGCCCTAAACCTTAAACACCCTAATCACTAAAGATCCTAAACCCTGAAAACCCAAAACCCTAAACCCTAAAAACCCTAAACCCAAAAAACAACTGAACCCTTAAAAAGCCTAAACCCTAAAAACCTTAAACACTGAAGATCCTAAACCCAAAAAACCCTAAACCCTAAAAACCCTAAACCCTAAAACCCTAAACACTAAAGATCCTAAACCCTGAAACCCCTAAACCCTAAAAACCCTAAACCCTAAACCCTAAAAACCCTAAACCCTAAAAACCCTTGACCCTAAAACGCTAAACACTGAAGATCCTAAACCCTGAAACCCCTAAACCCTAAAACCCCTTAACCCTAAAACCCTTAACGCTAAGAACCCTTAACCCTAAAAACCCTAAACACTGAAGATCCTAAACCCTGAAACCCCTAAACCCTAAAAACCCTAAACCCTAAAAACCCCTAAACCCTAAAAACCCTAAACCCTAAAAACCCTAAACCCTAAAAACCCTTCACCCTAAAAACCCTAAACACTGAAGATCCTAAGCCCAAAAAACTCTAAACCCTAAAAGCCCTAAACCTTAAACACCCTAATCACTAAAGATCCTAAACCCTGAAAAAAACCCAAAACCCTGAAACCCCTAAGCTCTAAAAACCCTAAACCCAAAAAACCCCTGAACCCTAAAAAGCCTAAACCCTAAAACCCTTAAACACTGAAGATCCTAGGCCCTAAAAACCCTAAACCCTAAAAACCCTAAACCTTAAACACCCTAATCACTAAAGATCCTAAGCCCTGAAAACCCAAAACCCTAAACCCTAAACCCTAAAAACCCTAAACCCAAAAACAACTGAACCCTTAAAAAACCTAAACCCTAAAAACCTTAAACACTGAAGATCCTAAACCCTGAGAACCCTAAACCCTAAAAACCCTAAACCCTAAATCCCTAAACACTAAAGATCCTAAACCCTGAAACCCCTAAACCCTAAACACCCTAAACCCTAAAAACCCTAAACCCTCAAAACCCTTAACCCTACAAACCCTAAACACTGAAGATCCTAAACCCCCAAGACCCTAACCCTAAAATCCTTAAACCCTAAAAACCCTAAACCCTAAAAACCCTTAACCCTAAAAACCCTAAACACTGAAGATCCTAAACCCTGAAGACCCTAAACCCTAAATCCCTAACCCTAAAAACCCTAAACCTTACAAACCCTAAACAATAAAGATCCTAAGCCCTAAAAACCCTAAACCCAAAAACCCCTGAACCCTAAAAAATTTAAACCCTAAAATCCTTAAACACTGAAGATCCTAGGCACTAAAAACCCTAAACCCTAAAAACCCTAAACCTTAAACACCCTAATCAACAAAGATCCTGAACCCTGAAAACCCTAAACCCTAAAAACCCTTAGCCCTAAAAACCCTAAACCCTTACGCCCAAAAAACCCTAAACCTCTCTGTGGGCAGGGATGAGCCCAAAGTGTGGTCGCAGATGATCCTCCGCTGACCCCTTTTTGCAAAGGGTCAACTTCTATGTATTCGCGAAAGAATCTGTGGGCGCACATGAGTCAGAAAATGTGGGCGCAGATGAGTCACTTCTGTGCGGGCGGAGATGAGCCGAAAATGTGGGCACAGATGAGCCCCCTTCCTCTTGCAATGGTAAGGGGAAAGGTAAATCCCTTTAAACAACCACCCACATGACTTGAACAACCAACGGGGTAAGCAGGGCGTTCCTTTGGCTCTCTGTTTGCCTTGACAAGTTCAATGTCGATTCCGGATTAATCAACCTGGGGATTCAGAGGGTGGTGGTTCCCTCAAAAGTGAACCTTCCCTCTTCAACTGAGACTCCCCGCATACATGTCAAAGGTACACACGTTTGGAGGTACTCATACACGTCAAGGCTTCCCATTGCTCTAGGGTCTTTCCCTTGTGCGGAACACCTGTGAATTAACTAGATGAAATCTCTGGACCGCTTTGCAGGTGAGCCACAATCAAAAGGCGGGTAGTTGAGTAAGATAAATGGCTGCGGATAGCCGCGTTTTTAATTCTTGAAGCGTGACAGATGAGCCGAGGTGACCCAACTTTTCGCACGTTGCACGCTCCGTTGGGCGCGAGTTCCGCTCGCTGGTTACGGTGTCAGGCGCTGGAGCTGAAGGTGCCGGTGGCCGCCCTGCGCAGCGCCGCCTGCGGGGCGCCGCGGGTGCAGAGGTTTCGGCCGGCTCAAACGTAGGTGCCCAGCCCCCCAACCCCAAGCAGTTGCTGCAAAACCACAAATCACATATATATATATATATATGTATTTTTGTGGATGCCCCATTCTTTTGAGTTCCGCCCAAGTGTGGGAAGCTTCAAAGGGCTTTGTTTTCGCTTTGGTGTCCCTTTAAAAGAATCCGACACACTCCAGCTTGGAGGTGTTTCCTCGACAAACACAACATTGACTCCGTCTAACTGGAGTGGCTTCCAAACAATTTACCGTTGACGTTGACCTAAATAATTTTACCTCCAGAGAGAATGTTGCCTTGGAATCCAATAGTTTTTCTCTCAAATGAAATCTGAAGCACCAAAAAAGGGCTTTGGTTTGGTTGTGAAATTTGGATTAATCTAAAGCGGTGCCATATTATGTAAGAATGTTTATCACGCTGGATTCCTTTTTTCCCTTGAGTCAACGGGAGAGCAAGCAAGCAAGCGAGCGAGCGAGCCAGCGAGCGAGCAAGCAGGCAGAAGAAGGCAGGCAAGGCAGGCAAGGCAGGCAGGCAGGCGGGCAGGCAGGCAGGCAGGCAGGCAGGCAGGCAGGCAGGCAATGAATCAGTCAATCAATCAATCAATCAATCAATCAAGCAAGCAAGCAAGCAAGCAAGCAAGCAAGCAAGCAAGCAAGCAAGCAAGCAAGCAAGCAAGCAAGCAATAACGCGCCACCTGGAACTGGCAAGAGGTCAGACAAGTTGAAGTGTTGCCGGGCTACCAAAATGATGGTTTTACTTTTGGTTTCCCTCTAACACCTACGACAAAGGTGTACCCTGAAAAACACACACCCACATCGATGAGGTTGTCCCTGGACTCATGAGTCCTGTTCTGAATCGGGGGGGGGGGGGGGCACCCACTCGGGCTGTCGGCTCTTTATGCTCTCTGGGCCGCTGCTAGTGAAGACACTGCCCTGTTGTCAAGGAGTGGCAAAGGTGAAGGTCGAAGCGTCGAGACCGTCGCTCAGGTGGACTACGAGCCGCCCACTCAGTCCCTGAAGTTTCAGACCAGCGAGGGCACCTGGGCCGTGAGCTCCTGGTCGTCTCAGCGGCTTTGCTGTTTATTCGACTTGAGACCCCAAAAGTTGCCTTGTCCTTCCATGGGGCGTGGTTTGGAAGCCTGCAAGACCATCTCCCTGTAGGGCCTGTTGTCAGGTTCCACGGATGGGAGGCTAAGCTATTCTTCTTGCAGGTTTCCTGACTTCCATACGCCTCCCAGGTTGCAGTCACTTGCCTTGAGACACACTTTGACTGAGGAGAGTGTCCTGCGTGGTCGCCCGCAACTTTGCCCAGCCCATCCCCCACCATGCCGCGCCTGGCGCCGTGATCGTCTCCCACGTCGCCTTCTTGGTTGGGAGGAGCGGGAGGTATGGACCTGGGATCTGGGATCTGCCTGGTGGTTGGTGTCCCTTTGGTCTCCTTTTGAAACCAAACAGCAGTCCCCAATAAGATTATTTTTTGCTGATTCTGAGGGCCAGCAGTTGAAGGGACGTGCAGAAACACCTACAGCCCAGCAAGACATCCCACATACATACACACACACATAGACAAGTGCTTTTATGGACGGCTTTTGCTGGGGTGTTGCCTAGGAGGAGCATCAGCTTCGGACTCGGCCACAAGATGTACCCAGAGGCGGGCCCAAGAATACCTCTGTTACGCTTTCACTTGCTTGTGGTTGTCTTCCACGTTTCCAGGTTACAGCCCATTTGGCTCAAGTTGCATGGTCTTTCATCTGTTAAGTCACCCGCTTTCAAGAAGACGTGGTTGGGGCTGCTGGCGGGTCGCTTACGCAGCCCGAACTCCTGTGATGAAGTGCGTAAGTCCGCTCTTTTCCGCAGCAGTACACCTTGTCAACTCCTGAGTCACTTTGGGATTATCGTTAAGGACACTCTTGAGCCTCTTCCGATAGCAGGTGGAAGCAACGTACGGTTTCCAACCGCAGGGCAGGTGAAACTTGTAGGTGACTCCTTGTTCAACGCGTCAGCTGAGGCAGACTCTCTGGACATGTTCATTGGACACTCCTGGCACATGAATCTTGAGCTCCAAGGTTCAAGAAACGTCCAAGGCAAAGCCCTCTCTTGATATCCAGGTCGATGGCAGGTTGAATCGTTTGGATCTTCGCACGGGACACTCTTGAGCTTCGGGGCTCCCAAAAAAGTTCTCTAAAGGGAGGCTAAGGCAACGAACATTTTGGAGTTGTCTCCTCTGGTGGATGGGGATCCTCTTGGGGATCCTTTAGCCCAAGGGAAGCCACCGAGCGGGTCTCCGAGCTTAAGATCTCGCGTCCAGGTCTTCTCCTCGTGGCCAGACCTGGGCCAGTGGAAGGACTTGGACCGGGACCTGGGCACCTACGCCGCGACCTGGTCCAAGATCCGCCTGTGCCAGGTGGGCAGATGGCTTGGGTCAACTGGAAAACGCGGACCGCCATGAATCGGTACTTTGACCAACAAACTAAGTAGGATATCATGTTTATTTGATGGCCTTCCGAAAGTGGCAAAATCAGTTGGGAGACCTCTGCTTTACCTGTGAGAACTCACCCCGCAAACCGTCAGGTGCATGCAGCGGCGGCTGCCAGCGTGGCATACACCGCCCCGGCACACCTGCGGACGGTGACCTGGGTGCGGGGCCCCCAAAAGCGGTGGCGCTTCAAATGCACCGCAAGCATCCAGGCGAGCCGGGCGGGCTGGTGCCTAATTGAACTCATATGGCCAGCGTTCTGATCACTATACTCGGGGATGTACATCACTTGCAACCAATTGGACCGGGACACAGAATGCTCCCTTGCAATATTTCAAGAAGGGATCTTTCGCCCCCCAAAGGGGGGTCCATTTCCCCAAACAGCTGGTGCTTTTTCCACTACACTCTTCTTTGTCAACATCAGACCTTCCGTGCTTAGAGTTGTTTGTGCAGAGATCCAGGTGAGCGATGTTTGCCAATGGATCGCTCCCTCCGACCTGGCACTGTTGATGTGCTCCCGCGGTGGCGGCGCTGGCGGGGTGACGGTCTATGGCCTGATCGAGTGGGTGAAAAAGAAGGGCTGCTCCAACGGGGTGCAGGACTTGATAGCTCTTTGGTACAGCCTTCCTTTTGACCTTTTGACCTTTTGACCTTTTAACCTTTTACCCCGTGACAGTCCCACCCAGCACGCTTAGCCAACTCTTTTGCTTTTTACCCCCTGACAGTGACCATTTCCAGCAAGCAAGCTTAGCTTTTTTGCAGCGGGTCTAAGACCAACTCTCAGCAGGACTTTGACCTTGAGGTGGAACTCTCCGAGAAGCTCGGCTGATGAGCAACTCCTGAAGGCAATTCCGGAGGTCCGGAGCCCTTGTAGCCTGCATTTCAGGGATTTTATGCACTCTCTAGCATTCAGGATGCTGAGAACCCACCCCAAGGGTTGCAAGAGTTGAACCCCCTCCCCCCGGCACGGTAACGATCCGCCATTCTTTCGACTTTGGGGTCAACATTAGGCGTTCCAAGTTTTCAACAAAGCTATGAGCCATTTGCGAAGTGAAGGTTGTTCATAGCGTGCCCAGGTTCCAACGTGCTCTTCAGAAGGGTTCAATGCCAGCAAGGCACCCGTATCAGTGGTTGTTCCAAAACGAACCCACGCGAACGCCAATCAATGTTGCGGGTTCCAGATTCCGTTTGGCGATGAACTCATACACCTTGAACCGTGGGGGAGTCGGGGGGATCAGATTTTCAGTTGTTGAACCTAGACGACACCCCCCAACCTTCTTCCGGTGGAGCTTGGCGGTGTGGAATTTGAACCGGTTCTTGTAGAGGGCAAAAGGGAAGCCCTCCTTAACCACCAAACCACCGGGCTCCTAGCCGCCAATTAGAGGGAAGCTGGCTGAATGTTGACCCTAGATCAGTCAACCCAGAGTATGGGGCCTCCAAAAAAAGCAGGTGCGCTGCTCACCGTCCTTCCGTTTTTCAGGATCGGGCACCTGATCCGCGAGGCCCAGCAAGGCGCGGTGCTGGCGGCCACGGACTTCCAGCTGCAGCTCATCGCCGTGCCAGCCAATGAGAAGAAGGCGGCGATCCGCCCGGGGAGAAGGGGCTGAACCGCCTGCAACGATCGGTGCGAGAGATGCAGGGAATGAGAAGTGGAATGACCCGAAAGCATCCAACTGGTGGTCTCCTTTACGGGGACCCTGGGTTCCTTCCCACATTCCCCACCTATCGCAGAAGCAAACTTAACCTACCACTGTGGACAATTGGTGCCAGTTCCAGTGCCCCGATAGTAAGTCGTATATGGGTGTGTCATCTTTTTTTTGGGGCTGGTCCCGAACCTTGTGGTCGGTTTCAAAGGAAAATCAGAAGACAGCCAACCATTCTAGTGGGGGTTTCACCCATTTGAGAGAAGCCCATAAAACTCCTTGTACGATCCTGCTAGTGTTTGTTCTGTTTTGTCCACAAAGCGTACACCATCCCCCTAAGCGAATGGGGGGGGTCCCTTCTCCAACAATCTGGCTGTGCATGGCGAGCTCACCGATTCAGGCGCAAAAACAAGCTCGCCATGATGTAGGTTGTCTACTTTGGGACCCGGCTTATGGTGACAGTTGCAAATGGACAGGGTTGCTCCGAACCTCAACTGGGTCTTGGGGTAAACATGGCTGAGGCTCAGAAAGATGTGCCAAAATGGCTCTTAAATGGAACCAAAGACTAAAATCTGCGTAAGCCTAGCTCTTTAATTTGAGCCACACCCATTGAAGGTACCGGCCCCCTTAAGCTTCCCTAAGCCTTTGGAGCAACGGAAGTGGACCCTCCTGGGAAACCGATGACTTGGGCCACTGTCCTTTACTCAGGGATTCGTGAATTTCCCCCTGCCGCTCGGCCTTGGCATTGGTACGGTACGCTGTATGTAGAACCTTTTTACCATGTACCAACGCCAACAGGTTCATCTTTATCTTGCACGAGAGACTCAAAGCAAGGGGTTGTGCATTTCTGCAAGAGGGGACTTCCTGGGTTTGATTCTAAATTGGGGAAATAAACATCGGACACCTGGAAGCCTGTGAGGTTTTCATTTGACGACCACCAATTATCATGAGGCGTTGGGGGCTCACCACCATCCAATGTCGAAAACCAGCGATAGTTCAGGGTTGGTGAACCATTGAAATCACTCTGACTGGGCATGATGTTTACTTCAGTTGGTTGGCTTGTGGTCCACCTCCAAAAGAGCCGTTATTTTGTTGTATTTCCTTTTTGTCGCTTTCGCCAGTCAATGGACTTTTAATTTTGGGATTCGACCCCGTGATGGAACGGATCATTGATCCTCTAAATATTGCAAGTGAGGGCTTATGACCTGAACTCGGGTGATTTCAACTACTGGGTTTGAGTTACAAGCATTCGGACTCGGATCTCTCCGCTCCAGTCCCACTACTTGAGCCATCAAAGGCCGAGCGCCTCAAGAAACCGGATCTTGCATTTTTCAGGGACACGGAGCGTGTCCTTTGTAGGAATTGGACCCAACACGGGATGCGGGGTTCCTTGGTTTTGGGTTTTCCGTTTTGCGATACACACATCGGGGTGCCAGCTCGAATGTTGGAGGCTGTGGAGCTTCTGCGCACGATCCCAGAGAAACCCCCGCTGGGGGCTTTGCGCCTGCAGGTAGGGTTCTTGGTTCAGACGAGGGCATGGGAGGAAGATGTCGCTATGATCTGAGTGGTTGCATTTTGAGTTCTCAACATTTCTTTTGAGCTTGGTTCGCCTTCAACCCCCACTTGGAGTGCCATTTCGGGGATGCACTTCAATGCGCCAATTGGTAAGGGAGAACGTCCTCGAAATGGTGGCCATGAGTGTCATGCAGATGCTGTCCACCGAAGGGTTCCAAGTGAAATTAATTCGTGCTCGCAGGAGCATGTGTAAAACCCATGTAAACACCCACGTTCCAAAACCATCTTCCAGACCGAGCACCTTTTCTATGCGTTCCAGGATGGTTATGCAAGGGTCCTTATTCTTTTTGGGAAGCATGAGAGTCTTGACCATGGCCAGACAACTCTTCATACATGTTTACATTCCTTTGGTTGTATCTCAAAATGGGGATTTCCGTTTAACGCAACCTCCCCCCCTCCCCAAAAGGATAGTTCAACAGGAGCTTGGCCTGCCCCCCCAACCCCTATTTGGTTGATGTTGGAACGAGGTAAAACATGAAGCTGCCTTAAGGAGATTGGGCCGTCCTGAAAATTGGGAGTCCCGAGAGACATTGAACCCCGCCTTTGATTCTAGGGGTTGATTTCCCATTCTTTTCAACCAGCTGTTTCCCCAGGGGTTTTGGTGGTTTTCTGGAAGGAAGGATCGCTGGAAAGAATGGACATAGCTACCCCCTGGAATGCCAAACCTTCTGGCCCCGCTGGCTTCCCACAGGAGCCCTCCGCAAGAGGTGCCAGGGTGGAGGCGGAGGCGAAGCCTTTGGCCAGCCGCCAGCAGGTGGAGGCGCGTGGCTCGATTCCTTCGCGGAGCTACGGGCCATCCTTTTTTCCCAGAGAAACATTGAAAGAAGCAGGAGGGGTTTCCCCGGAATTGAACGTTCCCTCTGAAATAAGCCTTGTATTGACATCAATCAGTTTAAAGATGTCAAAAGGTGTCCGGACCTTCAGGGGGCTGTAGCTTCTTCAGGCTTCACATGGTGCAGTCGCTTTTTTTTTCTCTGGAAAGTGGGGGTGAGGGAGAGCTCCACCCGTCCCCATTCCCAGCGCAGGCCGTGCTGCGGCGCCCGGCGTTCCCTTCGGCGTCGGCGCTGAACGGGGAGCAGCTGCTGGCGGTGCAGCGGGGCCTGCAGCGGCCCTTCTCTACGGTGCAGGGGCCGCCAGGCCAGGCCCGTGGGGGGGGGGCTTGGGGGAGGGGCTGTGGTGGGGGGGCTGTCGGGGAAAGGGGGGGGGGTTTAAAGCGGATTGGCGAACAACGCCCCTGATTGAGGGAGGGCAGAGATCACTTTTCGAGTTGCAGGCAAGCTGGGAGAGGGGAAGGGGAAGATGGGCGGTCCTCAGGTCTATTTGCTTTCACATTCAATCACGGGGATTTAAGGGTAAGATCGGCGCTGTTGGTCGAGTCGCGTTGGGCTAGGTCGGGTCCAGGGCAAGGCGAACAGAAAAGTGAAAACACTTCGTTCGTTTGGTGTCCAAACGGAGATGACAGCAAATGGCTCGTTATCCATGTGATCCCTTTGAAGCAACTCCATAAGAGTACCCGCATTTGTGGTCAATTCCTTTTCCGGGGAATCCAAGTCCTTCTTTTTTGTAGGGAACAGGGTTGCTGGGTTTGAACCCGTATTTTCACGGGGGCTTCGCGTAGGTTTGGCTTCCACAGATCTTCCGCATGTTTTCACCTTAGCGCAATCAGTGGGTGACAAGGAGGTTCAGAGATGGTCCAGTGCCAACTTTTCTGGGGTTTCTCGATCATGAAGGCAGATTCTTCAAACCCCGCGCAAACCACTACTCCAACCGCCAGTCAACAAAAACACTCGACCTCTTTCTTCGACATCATGCCACATTGTAAGCTTGATTATGGTTGCCAAGTTTTTGAAACTATGGTTGTCATAGATGTTATTTTTAAGTTAGTTTGGTTAGAATTAGATAGCACTGGCTTAGATGGATTTTATTCCACGTACCAGGGCCTGTTTTTCCAAAAGGACACCCAACCGCCTATGGTGGTTTTGAGTTATAAGTTCAATCAATGCGGCGCCTCGGTTGGGGGGAAAAGAAGCAGTTTGGGATTACATTTGTCTCTTGTCTAGGCACTGGCAAGACCTCCTTCCTTGTGAGCCTCATCGCCAGCACGCTGAGTTTGGAGCTGCACTCGCAGATGAAGCACAGGCGCGAAAGATCCGTCCGCAACAGAAGGAGAGAGAGAGAGAGAGGGAGACTCCCTGGTAGACATCTGGGCGTACCTTTTTGTAGGGTATTGCCAAGATGCGTGGTTTTCCACTTTGTTTTCCTCACCGAAAAAGGGGTACCCTCACAAAAGACACACCCATACCCGTATATCCATGGAGGGAATTCCCATCCTTCCAATATATAATCTGTCCAACGCAAAGGGAGCAGCTGAGTGTTTGACTCACTTGGTTTAGAGCTGTTTTTTGTTCGTCTCGGTTTTCCTCTCTTGATCGTTTCGTCCACTTTGGGGCACCTTCGCTACTTGGCCTTTGCACAAGTGAGGAGAGAGTGAGAAAGAGAAGAACTGAGATATCCATATCTGGTCTGAGTTGCACGACACATGGGGTTGGGACATATCCAATCTAAGTCAAATTGGGGCCTCACCAAGTTTAGAACGGCCTCACTCATTTTCCCACGTCCATTGATCACTGAATTTGGGGCCTTTCCGTTTGCCAGGAGCCTCATGATGAGGCACTGTCATGATGGTTGGGAAAAGGTTAGGCAGCTGGCAACACTCGGGTTGCCTTTTGGCCAGCCAAAGAAAGGAAGACCAAAAAGAGGCCGTGCAATCAAAACGACAGCCAAAAGGCCCGTTTGGGCCGCTTGAGTTTCACGTGGGCTGTTTGGGCCGCTCAAAGAAACAGAAAGCATGGGCCTTGGATCCGTTTTTCCCTTGGGCCACCAATTTCAAGAGACACCCGTGAGGAGAGTGTATGGTGTGCCTAAAACGAGAAAACGAGGGACTCCGCTTTGGGGGGCGAGGGGGCCGTGGGTCGTTTTCAGGGAGCCGCCGCGGCTCCTGGTGCTTGCGCCCTCCAACCACGCGGTGGACGAGATCGTGCGGCGCCTGGTGCGGGACACGGAGATCCCGGGGCACTACGTGAGCCTCGGTGCGTCGATCAGTTGGTGCGCCAAATCCCGCTGTTGGTGGGTTTTGAAGGGAAGCCACACGAAAAAAGAGAGCATTTTTTGGGTCCCCGATTTTGAACTTACCTCCTGTTTGGTAGGTTGGAAAGGGAAGCAAAGACTGTTTTAACGGGAAGCCAAAGGGAAGCCAAGCAGCACCATCACTACTGCTACCACTACCCAACCAGACAGCCTTGAGATCATCTCTAACTCTAACATCAGAAAGCTCAAAAGTCTTCATCAGCTGGCGGAGGTCAGACAGTTTTAGGGGCTTACCTCCTGCTGCGTGGGTTTGAGAAGACCGTTTTTGGGTTGGTGTCAAAGTGGAATCACACGGGTACCCAGTTTTTTGGATGGTCGTGAAAGGGACGCTAAAGGGGAATTCAAGTGGGTGGACCTCGAAGGTAACAAAAACTGGATGTGTCTTTTTTTGATGGTGCCCTTTTCTGGTGGTTTGAACGGGTTCCTCTTCTTGGTTGGTTTTGCGGGAGCCGAAAAGGACACCAAGCATATTGAAAAGTCTCCTACGAGACAAGCCCAGTCAAAAAGCGGATCAACCATTCGACAACTAAGGACCCGCATCTACTCCCGCTCCATTGAGGCAGACCGGGTGCTTTGCCGGGGGTGTTGACATTGTGTTTGAAAGGAATCGATCATTTGCGGTGGTCGCCAATGCTAGGACATGCCAATGTGTTTTTTCGAGGTAGTCAAGTCATTCTTTCCATGCCTTGATGCAGAATACTCACGGCGACAGCTTCAAGGGCAGCCCCCAGCTTCGGCACGACGTCTTCGACGTGAAGCCGGACGTCGTGGAGCATGCGCTGCATCAGAAGGCTTCGCAACCTGGCGCCGTTCTTTTGGGTAAAGGCTTCGCCCCTTGAAGCAAGGCAAATTATTTCCAGGACAGATTTCAAGCGGAAACCACGAGGAAAGCCAGGACTCGGAGAGGCCCGTAATTTTGTATTCACCTAATATCTATAATATATCTTTCGCACACGCAGGGAGTTTGGATTGCACATGCAAAGGCTTAGAATACTAGGACTGTTGCTTTGGGGAGTTCCACTGAGGCAGGTCTGCTATGATTCGAGCAAGAAGAACCTCTATGAGCAAGCTGAACTTCGAGTGCTGAGGAGCAGCAGAGTGGTGGTCACCACAGTCACGAACTCCTATTTGCACACGGCCTTGAACAAGGTGACTCGCTTGGCACCAAAGCGAATCTACGTGATCTAACCCTTTCTTCCTCCTTTTTGGTGAGGGTTTACAGGCAAACCAAACGAAATCAACCCCTTTTGGTTTACCTTTCCTGGCCGATGCCTGTCCATGACAAGGGTTTTCCTTCTATCTCCTGAGGTGACCATGTGGAATGGCAAAATGTCCCATGTGCAGCACCCCATCAAGTTCACCTCAGTGATTGTGGACGAAGCCGCCCAGGCCAGCGAGCCAGATGTTGTCCTGTCCTTCATGTCGGCCGGGTATCGGGTGGTTGTGGTCGGCGACCACAAGCAGTTGGGGCCCGTGATCCCGGAGAGGAACCTTTGCACCTCCTACGTCAGCGCTTTGGAGACCCCATTCCTGGAGAGGATGTTGCAGAAACCGCAGAGGCATTCGGCCAACACCCTGCTGAACGTGCAGTACCGGATGCATCCCTCCATCCGTCGCTTTCCATCCATCCAGTTTTATGACTCCAAGCTGCGCGACAGCGTCTCCATGCCGCACCGGCCGGAGCTCTGCTGCCTCTGGCCGCAGAGGGACGAGCATGTGCTCTTTGTCGACTGCCAGACGCCACAGACCTTCGGTGCGGGCGACAAGAGCCCAGATGGCGTGGAGAACAAGGCAGGCACAACACTCCCTTGGTAATGCCCTCGATTGAGCGTGGGTTTGTCCTTTGGTGACACCTTGTAGCAGATGTCATGGTTCTATGTTTGCACCTGTCACGCTTGTACAAACACCAGGTTTAGGTTCCTATCTAGGCCTCAATCGACCATTCGAGCATCCTTGTCTCATTACCGTCTGGCCCATCTTGGACTTTTGTGTACCACTTGGACCACTTGCTGGTTCTGTTGTCTGGAGGTTGTTTTTGCATCGACATGTATCTCCTTCTCTCCCTCTCTCTCTCTCTCTATATACTTGGGACATAGGAACATACTCCTACATATGCCACATTTGTATCATATTCCAAGCTTCTCTGCACATATACAATACATTACTTACATACACACACACACACACCTACATACATGCATGCATGCATGCATGCATACAGACATACACACATACACACATACACACATACACACATACACACATACACACATACACACATACACACATACACACATACACACATACACACACATACACACACACATACACACATACACACATACACACATACACACATACACACATACACACATATACATACATACATACATACATACATACATACATACATACATACATACATACATACATACATACATACATACATACATACATACATACATACATACATACATACATACATACATACATACATACATACATACATACATACATACATACATACATACATACATACATACATACATACATACATACATACATACATACATACATACATACATACATACATACATACATACACATACATACATACATACATACATACATACATACATACATACATACATACATACATACACACATACACACATACACACATACACACATACATACACACATACACACATACACACATACACACATACATACATACATACATACATACATACATACATACACACATACACACATACATACATACATGCATACATGCATACATGCATACATGCATACATGCATACATGCATACATGCATACATGCATACATGCATACATGCATACATGCATACATGCATACATGCACACATGCACACATGCATGCATGCATGCATGCATGCATACATACATACATACATACATACACACACATACATACATACATACATACATGCATGCATGCATGCATGCATGCATGCATGCATGCATGCATGCATACATACACACACACACACGTACATACACCATCATTACATTGCACTACACTACATTAAATTCCATTACATTCCATTTCATTACGTCACGTTACATTACATTACATTACATTACGGTACGGTACGGTACTGTACGATACATACATACATACATGCAGATATGCACATATCGGACATTCAGACGGACGGATGGACGGACTGACAGGCAGCGGACAGACATACAGACACACAGGCATACAGGCATCCAGACAACAGACATGCAGACATGCAGCCACACATAAAGACAGACAGGCGCATATTGGTCAGTATACAGTGCTGATGCCTGGCTTTGGGCGTGAGGTATCGCTGAAGAACGTGGGGGAGGCCAAGCTGGTGCTGGAGGCTTGCACCCAGCTGCTGGAGGCCGACCCTAGGGCTAACGTACTCAGTTCAGTGGCAACCCGTTTTTCGTTTTGGTTTTTTTGGGTCCCACAAGTGATAGATGACTTGGGTGAATTGGTTGGCCCCTGTGGGCATCGCTTGAAGATATGCGGAACCCCACAGCTTTGAGGGGAATTATGACCATTTGTACAAATTAACGCCTCACCACAGGCGGATCGGAGAGGGCTGTGGCGGACGAATTCAGGTGTCCCGAGCCGCTTGTAGAGCTTGTAGAGCGAAGCGCGCTGGGCAGATGGCAGCTGGTGTTAAACAAAATGCAAAACAGAGTTTGGTGGACTACCTTCACGAAATTATTATATACAACTCCATATCAAGACCCCCTCAAATCCAGCCACAGGACAGCCTCGCTGCCAGCTTCCGTCATTGTGGGTAGATGGCTGCTTTTGAGGTGTAGTTGATTCCTCCTCACATGCCAATCTTTGGGCGGCAAACGCGCGGCCCTGCAGGCCGGGTGTTCACCCAAGGACATCGCAATCATTACGCCCTACACAGCGCAGCGGCTCGGCCGCCAGCGCCAAAGGAGTGGTCACTTGTTTACGGAGCTTGGCAGGACTTGGCGGAAGAATGGCGCTTCCCCCAAAGTGAAGGTTCCTTAGAATGAGACACCACACTGCTGATGAAGCAGGAAGTGGAGAGTGGGGTGTCAAGAGGAAGAGGCAGCTCTTTGCAACTTTTTGGCAGCTCCTGCATTTGTTGCTAGTGTGTTGGTCATTTTGCTCAGCCCGGTGCGTCCGGTTGTCCGTCCACCTTCAATGCCCGCCGAGTCTTAGGCAGCAGGAGATCCGCACGCGGCTGGCGAAGCGGCCAGATTCTCGGAACATCTTGGTGGGGACCGTGCACGCGCTGCAGGGATCTGAGAGGGAGCCCCTCGCCATCATTCCATAGCCACTGCCAAGCGGGTTTCAGTCGAGCCTCTGGGATCATTTGGGAATGACATCCTGGGCCTGCAGATGTCGGTGGCGGTTTTGTTTTTTGTGGCTAGGGGCAAGGGTGCCTGAAAGCTTTGTGTTCAATCTGAGGGGAGCTTTCCTTGGCTGATGGCCCACTTGGTCCGGCTTTCTTCGGGATTTGTGGGGAGTGCAGCGATCATGAAGAAGCAGATTCATGCAATTTGGCCATCCTGAATTGGTGGTTTGGATTGAGTTGGTCCTGTCAGTCCAAGGGTCACTACTCAACCACCAAATTAGAAAGTGGGGAAGGGGCAGCGACAGCTGCTGCTGCTGCGACGCACGAGGTACATCATCATCAGCTTCGTGCGGAGTTTTGTGCAGGATGAGTATGACATCCACTCTGCAGATTCTTCTGGCATGATCCTCTCAACAGATAAGCAGAGCAAAGCCTTGCGGGACATTTGCAGCTGCAAGTTGGGCATCCTTTCGAATAACAGGCCTGGCTGAAAGTGTGAGGACGCATAGACCATGCCCACTGGGTGGATTTACAGCTTGGCCAAAACCGAGCGTCAAGCATTTGTTGGGGTTGGCTGCAAACTGACAGGCTCGAGCAACGACCAGCTGATTTCTATAACTGCTGGCTGTTTTGATCTGACTGAAGAGAGCAGGAGGTCCTTTCCGTTTTTTTTTTTTTTTGCCGTTGTTACACGTGTTTGCGCGTGTTTGCACGTTTTCCGTGTGTTTACGTTTACCAGTGATTGGCTGAGTGTACGTGGCAAGCCACAGGCTGCTGAATGTGTCGCTGACGCGAGCGCGCTATGGCCTGGTTTGCATTGGCAATAGGCAGGATTCGGACTGGACTGCCCAAGTGTTGCCCGAATGGTTGGTCAGGGAAAGGTTGTAAGAGGACATTTGTATCACAGATGGGCATGTTTTTCTGAGGTTACCTATTTTTGGGCCAAGGCTTCTCGGGGCAAAGGGACACCAGGCCCCATTCAGAGGTTCCATTTCTGAGGCAGTGGTATGGCCCGAAAGCCCGAACGGACACAACACCCCGTTTCACAAGGCAAGGGCCAGTCCCTGCTTAACATTTGACATTTCAGCCTTCGCGCATTCTTTTCAGAGCCTTCTTTTCAGAAAGTTGCCCAGCATCCAGAAATCAGAAACATATTGGTTTCTCCAGAGAACAAGAGGTATTGATTCTTCCGATGCTGTCGAGTTCGAATAGAAAGGCATTTGTCTTTTTTTGTCGGTGCAGGTCACCCGTTGGCATAGCTCGACTTGGCTTTCTTCCATGTCCCAGCATGGGCGTGTTTGCGAAGGGCCGACACAATTGAGAAAAATGATCAACTTTTGCAGAGCCCCGCAAGCAGGCTCACTAAAAAGCTCCAGGTTTCAACCCCCAAGAGGTTTGATGAACCTTTCTGTTCCTGTTATCCTCGCTCTCGAACCGGCGAGGTCGGTGCTGAGCAACGGGTCCCGGGACTTCTTCGACTACACCCAGGGCCTCGCGGAGCGGGGCTGCGTGGTGGACCGGCTCAACGCCAAAGGCGGGGAGACTACAAAGCGGAGCTGGCCTTCGAGCAGTTTTCTCCGACCAGGTTTGTCCACAAAAGTCTGGCGGGTCCAAGAGATTCTTGTTTCCGGTGTAGAAATAAGACCTGAAAGGAGTCTGGGGCAAAGCGAGGTCTTCCCTTGAACTTGGGTTGGAGTTTCCCCTTTTGCAGAAGGGGGGGCAGGGGCAAACCCAACGGCGAAGGTGTCGCACTCGCCACATCCCGGGCTCTCATCATCCTTGTGTAGCCAGGTACCGCGAAGCGTCGCGGAGGCTGACAACTTCTCCACAGAAGAGGAATGAGCTGAAAAAGGACTGAGGATGATTTTCCTTACCCCTCGCCTCAGTTCACTTCAGTTTTCCTAGACTCAGGCGTTTGGCCTGTGTATTGATTTTAAGCGAGCTTCCAGCATTGAGGACCAGAGGGTTTTCATCAAGTATTGAACTGCCGTTATCCCATGCATCTCTGGGTCTGAAGGTCGCGAACGGAAACAACCAGCAAGGTGATTAGTTTCAGGGGTCCCTATTTCACGTGCCACACCCTGCCTCAGAGACTTCTCAGAAGCTCGCATCAACACCATGGCATCCGTAGGTGCCGGGAAGGGATGCGGCGAAAGATTGGACATACCGCCGGAAAGTGGCTGGTTCCATCGCTTCGTGGCCATTGCTTTGTTGCCCTCAAACCTATTGCATCTTACACGAGCCCAAGCTCTGAGGGAAAGCGCACCCCGGAATGCGCCAATCGCCCGCTTCAGCACATCCCTCTCGGCGTGTGTTCTACCGGCGCGACTCCTTCCAGGTCTTGCGGCACAGCCACGGTTTTCTTAGCTACCCTTTTTACAAACAGCAAGTGGACAGGATGGTGGATGTCTACAGCCTTCTTGAAATGCTGCAACAGGGGTAGTAGGACAGATCACAAGTATAAAAGCACGGGCAATTGGCACGAGGTCGCTTGGCTGAAGGTTGATTCGCATCAGCATTGGTTTATCTGCACATGTATCTTTACGATCAGTAGGGAAGTTAAACATGTGCTCTGCATCGTGCTCTGCAGAGCTAGCAGCCAGTGCGCGATGTGCAGCTGAAAAGGGCTTCCTGCATCCGGCACTTACCCGGACCTTTGCTGCAGAAAGGTCCTAACCTTCCCAATCTTGAGCTCAGGCTTGGCCTCCCAATCCGCTTAAAGTGAACACGTTGACAACCATAATTTAAGACTAAGCATGGTGAATCTTGTTCAGTTGGATTGTTCAACGATTTGCAGTTCAAGGTCAAAGGCTCCAGTCATGCATCTTTTGATTGTGCGATCCTCGCTCCACGAGGGGATTGCAATGATTTCCAAGGTATTTCTTTGACATCACAAAAGAGTAGCACCGCGAACATGCGAATCGCCTGTTGTTTCATAACGAACTTACCATCCAACAGCAGCTGACCCTTGCATAGTTGGAAGCTCAGCATACCGGGCTGTACCCTCCGTTTTTCACGTATTTGACTTGGAGGGCATTTGTCTCGGATAGTAAGTTTGGGTTCAAGGTGGCCTGTGAGGGCAACAACACCACAGAACAGTCGAGACACCTGAAACTCAATCAAGTTTTACAATCATTTTCAACAGGTTCAGCGGGAACGCTGCATTAGCATCCAGACAGAGAGCCTGGATAAAACAAGACCTACCAAGAGCCTATCATGGCACGTCTTGGCCATGCAAGTCGAAGGTGTGGACAGATTTTTGTGCAGTGGGGTGGATTGAAGGGGATTGGTTCAACAGAAGCGACTGCAGGCCAGTTGTTCCATCCTTTGTGGTTGCGCCTGAACGACCCCGGTCAGATCACTCGGAACCAGCAGCGGCTCTTTGAGATGTCCGGTGTCGTGGATCGAAGAAACAGCTGGGAGGTGGCTGATCTGAAGAATGAAGAGCAGCGACTTTCGGTGCAGTGGGGCGATGGTGCTCAGAGTCATTATCCCTGGAGTTGGCTTGCAGAGCATGCTGCTGCCGGAGTTGCTACAGATAAGCAGCTGAAGCTTGCCGTTCCCAAGCATCTTTGGGATCAAAGCTTTCAAAGTACCTTGCCACGCATGGATTATGAAGCGCTGCTGACCCGCAGTGGCAAGCTTCAGTTATGTACATACTTGGAAAGGTACGGCTTGGCTTTTGTTAGTGGTTTGGGTGTCGCCGAGGGCACAGTAGACAAGGTTGGAAATTACATTGGTCACGTGCGAGTCACAAACTATGGTGCAATCTTCGATGTCAAGGATGATGGTGCCAAGGCAACCAACCTGGCCTTCACAAATCAAAGGATCTCAGCCCACACCGACAACCCTTACCGAGACCCCTTCCCTGGAATACAAATGCTGCACTGCCTCAGCTGTGCAGAGGAAGGTGGCGCTACCCTTTTCACCGATGGCTTTAGTGTGGCCCAAAGGCTCAAGAGTTTGGATTCCTCTGCTTTCCACCTGCTTTCAAGCATTGAACACCCATATGAATACAGGGATCCAGATGCCGCTGTCCTGCTACGCGCCAGCGTGCCCGTGATCAAGCTTTGCAACGAGGAAGTCGAACGGGTCACCTTCAACAACCGATCTGCAGCGCCGCTGCAGCACGAGGAGCTGCAGCGCTACTACGAGGCCTGGGCCTTGTTTGATCGCTTGGCCAATTCCATGGAGTTCACCGTCAAGGCGCACTTGAGCCTCGGTCGCATCGGGTCGTCATCGTTTCCCCCCCCTCCCCCCCAATTTTTTTTCACCCGGTGTCACGCAGGTTTCTAGAAGCGCGGACCAGAGCCTCAAGTTGAGAAAGCCGAAATGTTGATTGTGTACTACTGTCCAGGCTTGTTTGCGCGCCTTATATACGCCTTAGGCCTTGGATACTGGCTTGTATCGCAAGTGGAAGAACACTGTTTGTTCTTTTTGCAAGTGAGTCCTTTCAATCACTGGGACGGAGTGGGCGGAGTGCACCGGTCAGGAAGCCTGGAGAGTTAGCGATTTGGTCCAATGGCCGCGTGATGCACGGACGTGAGGGCTACGAACGTGGTGCTCCACGGCATTTGCAAGGGGCCTACCTGGATTCTGATGAGATCCAGTCCGCAGTTCGGGCCGCCCTATCCGAAGGAGAAGACTTGGAGAGGTTCAGCATCCACCAGGTAGAGTGAAAGGTCGTGAACAAAGCAACTTAATCCAGGTCATGTCACATGCCACTTGGACCGCATCGAGGAACCAGCTCTTATGATTCCAAGATGAATGCTCCCGTGCATCCACGGACGTGCATCTTGAAACCCGAGGAAGTTCATTTGCACAGAAATGCAGCCACCAGTGCGCGATTTGCAGCCGAAAAGGGCTTCCATCCGGCACATGACGCACAATCCGCTTCTTGAACGCTTAGACGACCACAATCCGGGCCAAAACTAGCTTCGGTGCCAATTGTAAGCATTCTGTTTTGTGTGTAGGGTGCATTACCGAGTACCAGTTGCAGGCATCAAACAACCGGCTTTCTGAGACACTGTTGCAGATTTCCAAGGTTGTTTCGTGTATGGTTTCTATTGTGAGAGCAGCAACGTGAAAATGTGACTCCCTTACTCTTCCGGATATTTGGATTACCATCCAACGCTAGCTGCCCCATGCAGCGTTGGATGCTCACCTTTGCAGACATGTCAACACATGCTGTGAGAACGGCATTTTTCAGTCTACAAATCGTGGTGTCAGGCAATGTGAAACACGAAATCCATGAGTCTATTCGCATAGGATGCTGCAATTGGGTGTCACGCAATGGGCCTTCCCCGTAAGTGGTTGTTTCCCTTTGGGTTTCCTTCTGAAAACTTGCGAAAGAAAACGGGTCCCTGATTTCAGGAAACACTTTTTTGATGACAGGCTCTCATCAAGTGATAGACGCCGATCAGTGATTGGACGCTTGTACGAGCAACCTTGGGTTGCTTCTCGACAGAGCCAGCCTTCGCGACTGGCTTGCGCAGTACCTGGGAGTCTGAAGACTCAGAAGGCCCCGCACTGTTTGATAAGGTGAGTCAGCCACCCATTCATGGAGCAGCCCTGCACCACCGGCTCTGACCGAGTGCACAAAACGGTCGAGGAATGCGTCATTGGCAGATTCCTGCCCCAAACCACCTGTTTTTTTGGAGATGCGCGTAGCTGCGAGCGCGCGCTCGCGCGCGCGCGCTCTGAAAACAAGCCGCAAGCACACCAAAAACGACGTGTGGCAGCAAGAAACAAGTCACGCACCAAGCGTATTTTTAAACCACACGGCCGATAAAACAAACCATGCATGCGCGAAGAGGAGCTCAAAACAGGGCGTGCTCGCGCGTTTGGCGAGCAGATTCCCAGAGCCGCGATGCGAATCCAAATGGCACCTCGTTGCCGGACTTACTTGTAGAGCTGCCAAGGAGCTTGTGGCTTTGGGCTGTTTTCCGGCCTTTCTCGGCGTTTGGCTCCGTTCGGCTGCTGACGCCCCAACTTGGCGGCAAACAGCTGGCCGCCCTTTTGGTTTCACGCGCGCGCACCTCGTATGCGTCGTGGGGGGCGATTCGCAAGGAAGGTGAAAGCTTTCGAAACACGGGCGCTCGCCGAAAGATCGCCTTTTCGTTTCTGCGATTTGTCGGTTTCGCTGGAGCTCAGCTGCTAACGTCATAGCGTTTCCCAGACGCAGACGAGTGGCTTCGTCGGCCCCTCTTGGAAACGAGTCTTCCAAGCCCCAGTCTGGTTCCAGCGGGTGGGAGAGCAAGCGCGCCTTGCCGCTTTCACAAGGGACTTTTGCAGGCTCGAGAGGCATGGCGCCACCTCATGTCTCAACAGGGAGCCCCTTTGGGAGTAGGAAGGAAAGCAGAAGGATCCCAGTTCTGAGGATATATTTTTTTGACAGAAGAGCGAAGGTCAGATGATATGCTCTTGTGTAAGCGCTCGAGCTAAAAGGCCGTCCCTTTAGCAAGCCTTCAAGCGGTCCATGCTCCACGAGTCTGGTTTTGATCTTCTGCCCTGAGCCGGCAATGGAGGCACGCTTACAAGGGGGAGGGGGACAGGGGGGGGGAGGTGGAGTACTCAGAGTTCACTGAGAGGGGTGAAACGAGGGATTCCGGGCCCAATCATGAAGGTTTGTGAAATATGGGAAAGTTCATTGCGACTTCATTGAGACGGTGGTTTTACAGTTGGCAAGCTTGGCAAGAGTTGCCCATTGTGTGCCTGCTCGCGTTGAGTAGTTGTTTCAACAAGGAAGGAAGTAGCTTGTTTCAACAAACACTCATGTGTACCTATGCAAGTTGTTGCCTACGAGTGATGAAGTACGACTCTGCATTTCCAAAACAGGCTACCGCTTGAACAAACCAACATGACAGGTCCTGGAATGAGCAGCTCCTTCGAATGCATGTTGCTCGTCTTGACAAGGTTCCTTGTTCGATTTGTTGGCCGAGCCGAACACTATTGGTGCACCACGCATGTCCGTGCAACCTTTGCTATGCTGTTCATGGCAGCATTCCCGGTTCCCACGGGGAGGTGCCAGGACTCTTAGCAGACAGTGTTACAATAGCAGCATGATGTCGCATGCTTTCCCCATCCGATCGCAGCACCAGTGTTGATTCTTGACGCATCAGCGGGCCAGATATACATGACAAGTGCTTTGGCCTCCAATATGCGCAACGCTTTGGGATGATTGAGTGTAGGTTGTTTGTTGAATGACATCAGAGTCAATACCAAGACTGGTACAGAAGATGTCTTGGAGGAATGCTTTGAAGCGTTTGGTTTCATTTTACAGGAATCATCTCCTTGAAATTGAAGGTCACTAAACTGACAAGCTGACCTTGGTTGCGGGGATATCACGAAATATGTCAGCCAGTTGTGAACTGGTGATCCTTTGAGGATAATATGTTTAAAAGCATATGCCGCCCTCCCGAGAAGTGTATGTTTGCTTGTGGAGGGATGCCACACTTGTCCTAGACCACTCTGCTTGTCAACAGATGCGGCAAACAACTTCTGGCTTTGACAGCGCCCAGCTGGAGAACATAGTTCAAAAGCTCCACTAGCCCAGCAGCGAATTCAACCAGCCACGACGAATTGTGAAAATACCGCGGTTTCCTTGTTCCCTGCGCGGCAACGTCTCCACAGTTGGTTTGGACCTCTTTTGGACACCAATGTACACTTTTTTGGTTCACTAATTATGGTGTTTGGTTGGAGATAGTCGCTGAATGCCAGGCACTGGGGCGTGGTACGCCGCACAGAGGCGCCGGCATGGGTTACTACCTGGGCAGGAGGTTGACCCCGCGAGATTTGCGACAAGATGGACTTTGGGTTTGGTCCAAACCGATGTCTAACTCGGCTCCTGTGAGAGCGATAAGGCTTAGACCTAACGAAACCATTTCGGAAAGATCGATGGGTTTTCGGCGCTGGTGTTTTCGGAGACATTGAAAGCGGATCCCTTTTTGGTTTCCCGTGAGATCCAAACCAACAAAGACTTCCAGCCAACGTTGGGTTCTTCTTTCAGGCACGAGAAAGCTTGCCAACCTGTCCAGGTGTGCTGAGTTGCATCTGAGTGTTTGCTAACTCCCAGCCAGTGCGGCCCTGCCTTTGGAAACACCCACTTGCTTGAAAGGAAGCCTCTTGTCATCATTCGGGCCCTTCGGAAGAAGGGATCAACCGCCAATGGAGACTGAAGGTCGCACCAATCAAGTCGACCAGGCACAGCAAACAACTTTTGAATTTGGCCCCTCTGCTTTGCTGGCATAAGGACGACTAAACCAAGCTTGGCCTGGCTTGGCAGGTTCGTTGGGACTGGGTTTTTTGACTTTTAGCAGTTTGCTATGACGGCTTTCCATCCAACCTCCGGTCAATCTGGACGCATCCAGACCACTCCGCCCCCCCCCCACAGTTGACAATCAGTTGTAGCTGTTCCAGTACTCTTTCTCTCTCTCTCTCTCTCTCTCTCCCTCCCTCTCCCCCTCTCCCCCTCTCCCCCTCTCCCTCTCTCTCTCTCTCTCTCTCTCTCTCTCTCTCTCTTTCTCTCTCTCTCTCTCCCCCTCTCCCCCTCTCCCCTCTTCCCCTCTCCCCCCGTCTCTCTCTCTCTCTCTCCCCCTCTCCCCCTCTCCCCCTCTCCCCCTCTCCCCCTCTCCTCTCTCCCTCTCCCCCTCTCTCCCTCTCCCTCTCCCTCTCCCTCTCTCTCTCTCTCTCTCTCTCTCTCTCTCTCTCTCTCTCTCTCTCTCTCTCTCTCTCTCTCTCTCTCTCTCTCTCTCTCTCTCTGTCTCTCTCTCTCTCTTCTTCTTCCCCATTTGGAGACACCGTATTTCCGGGGGGCGCATTGAGCCCAAGGTACTCTCTGCCAACCCTAATGGAAGTGAACAGGAGGGTCTCATTTTGCTTACTCGCCATTGAAAAGAACACAAATCAAACCCCGGCAGTTTTGGGATGGTGAACAGGTTGTCCACGCCCAGAAGTTCGCTTCCAGATTTCAACCGCTTTGTGGCCACCATGTCCTCCCACGCAGCTTCAATGCGCATCCTTGAATGCACACATCCGCGTGTTGATACAGCAATAGATTTTAGTGCCCTTCCAAATGATTTGCAGACATAGATACACCCGTGTAGTAATGATGTCCACTAAGGGTGCCCGCAATCAAGCGTCGTATCCATGGCAAGCAACATGTTTAGAAGCCACTTTTGTATAAACAAATCGTGTAGGCATCTTGCAATCAGATTGTTGTCGCATCTTTCAATCGGAGGACATGAGGGAACAGCTCAAAACAATCGCAAGGGCCAACTCCAGCGATCGAGCCGCAGGCAATGCCCGGCAGCCTGCTGCCTGGCAGCCTGGTTTCCCTTTTTGGAATCTGAAGTGTTGCGGTTTCAGTGGAAACCACCACTGAATTGATCAACTGTTGAAGGGAAACCATACCCCTGGAATTTAAGAGTGAGGTCGGAACAAGCCTTTAGCACTCGGACTGTCCTTTTTTTGTGCCCGGCCACGTTTATTATGAGTATCTCCGAGGGTGGTCCTTTTGGCTTCCTTATTGGAAAACGGCCCGCTAAACAAGTGCTGGTTTGCAATTGGAGGTATGCCAAAATTGTCCAAGCTGGTTGCACCAAGCATCCTGCTTGAATTTTGGAGCTAAATACATTCCGCCAAGTGGCAGGAACAACGTAAGAATGATGACAGTGTTCTTTTTAACAGCCATCCCCCCGCAAAAACAATTAAAGCATAAAACTTCAAAGACAAAACAACCTCAACAGCTCAGGACATAAATCTAGAGCTGATTTGCTGCCATTCAACCTCCCATGTAGCAGCAATGCTTTCATGCTGCATGAAGCCAATATGTTGTACAGTTGGACGCAACTTGTGGACTTTACGGGGTGCAAGATGTCCTTGAGCGTCGGTGAAAGCGCATGCCTACCTCCTGAAGCAGCAACCACATGAGTTACCGGCTAGAAGCCTAGACATGCGACTGGGTGTCAGATGGAGTTGGGAATTTGACGCAATAGGTTGTCATTCAAACGCACATACACACACACACCCCATGGCACTTTTGCAGTGCCTAAAAGGATTGGGTGGGACTTGAGGATCTCCTTGAACATGTTTTGAGGCCTTTACTGCACAAAACTGAGGTGAGTTACAAAATGATTGGGCAGAGTTTTGCTTTTTTGCTTTTTGGTTTGTGTTTGGTCAGTCTTTGTGGCCTAGCTCCAGGGGACTCACAGGTGAGCGACAAACGCATTTGACCACAGACACTCAGGGATTGCAAGCGCAAGTGGGGGCTACTTTGCAACCGTTTTGTTTTTCGGCAAAAGGATAGGGGTTCGCTTTGGCCGGCGTGTCTCGCCACAGTTCGAAAAAAATGCGAGAAAACAGGTAAGAGCTTTGCCCCCATGAGTTCTCCCTAGTAGCGGGAAACAACAATTGAGAACAAGAAGGAGGGGCTAAGAACAGGAAAGTGCAGTGACTAATAATGGAACAGCTTCGGGGGAATGGGTGTGTGCATTGTGTAAAGGGCTTGTCTGTCCGGGCGCATCCCAAAAGGGCCAATCTGCAACGACTTGAGCTTCAATCATGGGGTGTACCTTCGCCCTGTTTCCTTTTTGAATGCTTGGTTCGGATGGCTCGGCTGTGTGGGTCCTTGCAAGGCCGCCCGCTCGCCTATGCGCAGCGGGGGCTGCCGCATGGCGCCGCATGGAAGCCCAAGGGATTGGGGCCTCATGGGGAGCCATGGGTGCGGGGGGTGCCTTGGGGAAATCCACAAGGCGAGCAGAGATCCCCTCCTGTTGTTTAGACGGGATGACAGGATGGCATGGTGCTCTGGATTCATCCGAAGTGAATATGATGTTCTTCGAGGAAGCTTGCTTGCCTTTTGAAAGATTGCTTCGTTCACATCAGGTTGTCTCCCCTACTTGGGAAAGGGCTAATGCTGTGCGAGGCTTTTTTGCTGGGGTTGTAGCCCAATTGGGAAACCGGAATCCCGTTTTGGCAGTTTGTCGCCATGTGCAAGTGCGGAGCCATTCAAAATTGAGGGGTGCATCACAGCTGAGGGAACCGGTTCCTACAGTGGGGAAACCCCGGAACGAAAAGAAGAGGAGGTGGATTCTCGGGCCGAAGGATTGCAAGGAAGCCACTTGGACCATCTCACTTAGTAAGTAGGTAAGACCCCCAGTTCGTAAGTCCCTTCTGTGGGTTGAGACGCAACTACTACTTGGAGGCTATTCCCCAAGGCTATCTGCTTGATCGTGATTGTCCTTCAAGTATTTTTCGAACCCAGCTATGTCCAAACCGGCTGCTTTACCCCCCAACCGACCAGCTCCGTTCTTTTTGGGAGATCTTTAAGGGTCGCCAAAAGGAGGCCACCTATTTGTGCGGTTGGGGAGTTGGTTTTGGCGAAAAGCCCGACTTGAGCTGGACCTGGACCTGAGAGAGGATTGCCCCACACATATAAGCTGGTGCGAATGTTTGGCGGTGTAGTTCTTTACGCGGCTCGGAGTAGACTCCTTCAGTACCAGGTTCTGAGTATGACTTAGTCTTAGATGACACAAGTAACTTGGAAGCCTCAGAGGGCCACATCCCCTGAACCAACTTGTGGAACATATGTTGTGCCTCTCTCCCTGAAGCAGTTTTTTTCCGGCTGGAGTGGGCTTTGGGGTTGTCTAAGGGATCAAGCCCCGTACGTCTAGGTGCCCTGAAGGCATCCCATTTTTTCAGAGAATTGTGCACATATATATATATACATATATATATATATATGTATATGTATATGTATGAATTTACGTATGAATATGCCGGTAATTATGGTATACGCACATAATACATATATATATATATATACACATACATATGGGGTTTCTATCAGGCTCACCTAGCCCAATACGGGGCGGCTTGCCCGAGCTTAGGACGCTGATCCGAAGCCGCCTGGCCAATGGCGTGGGCCCAAACTTTATGGGGTCCCAAGGTGGGAGCGAGACATTTTCACGGCGCAACGCCCCTCTTGGAGGGGCAGGGGAGGGGGAGGGGAGGGGAGGGGAGTTCGGGGGAGGGGAGGGGAGGGGAGGGGCAGGGGCAGGGGAGGGGAGGGGAGGGGGAGGGGAGGGGAAGGAGAGGAGTTTTTGTTTCACTCCCACCTGGAAGTTCACGGGTCACCTGGAAAACCTGCGGGTCCCAAAGCTGCCATTTCACGTGTGGGCAGCTCTCAGATCCTTTTCCAGGACGCTCAAACTTGAAGTGGTTCAGAAAGGCAACCAAAGGTCTGTGAACTTGGTTTGGCTTGTGAATTGAGCACGTTCATTTGCTACTCTCCCGCAACATAACATGGAAGACTTTCGAGACATCTTATGCTGGACCCCCCTTTTGGGTTCCACGTAAACTTGCAGAAAATTCTTTCTGCCCTACGGTACCCTCCCACGATGCGATTTTTGTTTAACACTGAAAGACCCAAACTAAGAACACGGTCCAAGCGCGCGCGTTGGGCAAGACTTGCTCCAAGAGATCAGAAGCTGCTGTGGCAAAGCGAAAAGGGTAGCATTTTCCCGGATTTGTCCTCGGACTTGGACATGGAAACAGTGTCCTTTTGGGTTCCATTCTCCAAAAGGGGGCGGGCCCCTTCGAAATCCCCATATGGCCGAGTACAAGTAAAAGGCGATCCATTGTGTCATTTGGGAAATCAATGGGCCTCTCGTCCAGTTGTCCTAGTTGGACATCTAAACGTGTTGATTTGTTTAGAGGTGAGCTGGGTTTGATTGGGTAGTCCTTGCATTTTCCCGAACACGGCCAATGGGCAAGCGCTGCAACCAGCCCTGGCTACTCTTGGGTTCTAAGCAGGGCTTAGAAAGGACTGAGCCGCGGAGTCCAAGGTGAGGGACACGAGAAACTCGGGGTGAAGGTCCAGCTGTTTTTCTTGACAGGTTTGGTTTGGCATTTCTCTGTGAGGTTGGAAGCAGACAACAGAAAACCGAATCCGGTTCGCCTGGCAGGCACTGCCAGCCCAGTCCTGGGCCAGGTCATGAGCCCGGAACCCAAGCCTTGGCCTGGGTTCAGGTGGGTTTGTCAGCCAGTCCTGGGAGGATTGCTTGAAGGAAGTAAAAGAAGACGAGCATTTTATTGGTGACCCAGGCCTGGCCCTTTTCGTGAGTCGTTGGGCTGGGGGATTGTGTCGTCTCCGGGAGCTGGAGTCCTGGAGGCGGGAGGCCGACAGTCAGGGGAGCCATGTGTCAAGTAGAGTGAAGCCATGTCTGAGTTTGTCCAAAGGTCAAGCCAAGGAAGGCCAGCTCAACCATCCAACCGCCAAGCTGCGCTCTAGTTGGCAGTCACAACTAGGAGGCCGTTCGGGCTGTCTTGAGAAAGAAACTCACCCAGCGCCAATGATTTGGGGTTGCCCGTTCCCGATTCCGGGGCAACCCGGCCAAAGATCGAAGATGATTTCCGCTCCCAAACCACCAGGCCTTGGGAAAATGAGGTTGTTACCTTCGTTTGGTGGTCCTATAGTCTTTCCATAGGCCATATAGTTCTATACATACATTTCTTTTTTGCATACATCTGCATGTATACACACCTGCAGGCACCTCAAAATAGAGCACCTAGGTCATTGTTCCCTTCCGTTATTCTGTGAACCGGCCTTTCTATTTGATGACTCCCCCCAAGTGCCCCCGAGTTTGGGGGCGTGTGGACCTCAGGGAGCGCCCCGCAGCGGCCCGGAGGCGCGTGGAAAGCGCGCAGGGCGAATGCGTCGCTTGGGTCAGGACGGTTAAGTCTCCTGTTCACAGAATCCAAAAGAGGTCGTTTGAAACCATCGTGGCCGAACAGTTGAACAGAGTTCTCTAGAATTTGCCGTTTTCGTCAACAGGGCGGTTAGGCTACACTGCCATCCCAATTCACGCCCATTTTATAAGGAGTGTTGCACCCCGGCTGAGCCGGGATTGTAGAGAGGCCTGTGTAAACCTTGACAACCATGTTTTTGATAGTGATCCGTCAATGGGTTCGGGCAGAGTCGACGGTTCCTTCGCCACAAAGCGAATATCAAGAAGCACTTCTGGTTCTTTGTTGCCATGGGCTTTGGGTAGACATTTGTACGAGTACCAGGGAGGTTTGGGTGGCGAGTCTCTCGGGGTGAAAAGGCTTTCGCTTTCTCTCACTTGGTCTGCAAAACGCCATTTAACAAGTGGGATTGAATGTCAGGCGATATTTTTTGTCAAGCCTTCGTTTGATTTTGTTTTATGAAGCCTTGCAGTTCGATTCCGCGCAAATGTTGCTTTTGTCAGCACGCTTCTCCAAGACGTTTTGGGCATGGTGATGGAACTAATTTGGCCACGGTCAAGCTTGCTTTTTGGTTCGCCATTCGGTCGCACTGATCTGTGCCTTGAAATCAAGTTGTCTTTTTGCCCGCACAGTTCTGCAATGCTGGCGAAAGCAATTACCTGAGTCAAGCCTTGCTCATTCAACCTCGATTTCACGAGTCGGACCCTTACACCGACCCTTAAACGAGCATTGAATTACAATGCAACAGACCACGCCACTTTTTACACAGAATCAATCCTGATCCAAGCATATCCAGGCCTAAACCAACCCTACAGCCCATCTTAAATCGAATCCACACCGACCTTAGGAGTTAAGTCCAATGTTTGGCATTTGACCCAAGGGCTCCCTATGACACTGAATGACAACTGCGCCCAATCGGTTGCACCGGGTACCTCGAGTGCACATATTGTTGAAAGGTTCCACCTTGAGAGCTGTTCGAGGCTTGCCTTGCAACATTAAGGCTTTCCAGCAGGTTTTGGGGCAAAGGCCACTTGCAACTCGGCTGTTGCAACTCGGGATGCATCCACTCTGTGAATGAACACATTGCAACACCCGCAAGTTTTTCACATGCGCATCCTGGCGAAGCTTTGAGTCCCGGCCAAGACACTCCGTTTGTAGATCCACAGCAATTCTGATTGCCACCATGGTGGGCAGTTGGGGCTGTCTTTCAGGATGAGTATTGCAGTGGGACCATTTTTACCACAAATCAGCACATGAGCCAGTTTGGGAGGTTCCAAGCAACCAGGAACACTCGCCGCGCAGGCCCCAGCCCCCCGCCTCGCGCCAATGGTAACGTCTACGCCAACGGCGCCCATGTGCACAGCACGGTCGCCGGCAAGCGATCGCGCCGTGGAGAAGCACAAGGCGGGGGTCTCAGAGTTTGCTTTTTGGTTGTCCCTTTGGTGGACCCACTTGGGCACAGTTTGGCAAAGGCAACCTGGCCTCCTTCAAAGGGATGCGAAAAGCAGGTTTAGCCAAACACCGCTGAAAACATGTCTAAACATCGGATTGGCCCCGGTTCGTTTTTTTTTTTTTTTTTTTTTTTTTTTTTTTTTTGCAAAGTTTAGTAGCAACTTACATCTTTGCCTATGATGTAGAGATTTGGGTTCAGGTTTAGGGTTGAACATTCACCAATTGCGAGTTTTGAGCTGAACATGTCACTATGGACTCACCTTGGTTGAAACCTGCAAGTCCCCTCGATCGAAACTCGGATCATGTGGGTTTCTTGCCCCACCGAAGGCGAAGAATCCGACCTCTGAAGGGTTCACAAAGCTGAAAATCTCAACGGCACATGAGAAGCTTCAGGTTTCAGAACGGTGGCACAGTCAAGGCGTCCTAGGTCGGTTGGTTGATTATAGACGGCAGTGGTTTCAGTGTCGTTCCAATCAGTTGCCAGTTCCGTCTAGCTTTCCAAAAGGGCGCCTAGCATGCATTCTTTGAGAATCCATGGCGGTGGAGAACATCTCATGTCTACATTGACTGTTTTTTCAAGGACATGCTGCATGCCCTTGTCCAAGACAGCTTGTGGCTTTGCAATGAGGAAGGCTGGAACAGTCATGGCAGCTGTCGAATCTGAAAGTGCGGAAATGGTCAGGCGCAGTAGTGTTTTCAGCTGCTCAGGCTTTCCTGTGACATTGTGCATAATGCTTCATTGACCGCACCTATATATGGAATACTGTAGCCAAGTTGTCGATGAATCCCTGCTCACTTGCCATGCAGCGAGCCATTATGCTTCTTTGTTGGAACGATCAAGCATTGTTGCAGTTTCATGTCCGTTTGAAAGTGTTTCTCGATGGTTGGTGGGCAATGCAATGGCTCCCGGCCCTTTGACTATACACGGAGGAGTCTTATCATGCCAGTCATTGTTTTGAGGCAGCCGTTGGCAGCAAAAGCTCCAGCCTTTCCTGGCAAACCTTAGGAAAGGAAAGATCAGCGAAGCACTGCTCATGGAACCAGCAGAAACCTTAAACCTTAGATATTTTGATATGAGTATTTCCCAAAATGGACTCCCTACAGGTGGTTAGTTTCTAAAACCAGGATTCGTCCGACAATTGTGCTGCTGTTTGAAGCTTTTAAGACATGTGTTCTCCTTGACTTACCCGTGCGCAGTTTGCCTCGCCAGCGACCGCGCTTCGTTCTTCATTGTCTCCAGATGTCAGGAGGCTATCCCTGCTAAAGTTTTCTTGGACAATTGGACATTCTTGGGCGAATGGAAGACCTTGGTGAGATGGGTCAATGAGTTCACTGTCATATGACATTGGCCACACCAGCACCATTAGGCAAATGGGCCCTTCTCAGCTACTGGGGCTGCTCCGAGCCTTTGGCCAAACCAGAGGGGTAGAGCTTTGAAAGCCGGACTCACTAAATGTTCAGTTGACCCCATGAATATGGATGGCTCAGTCTCTGTCCCGATGGTGGGCTCGGGAGTTTCATATGTCCAAGCCACAAAGCTTCTACAGTCCCAACAAACGTATCCAGTTGGCCAAAAATGGTTTTGACCCTGACCAGGCTCAGATTCCACTGGCAAACAGTCCTCCAGCCGCAGCAATTCGGCACTGTCGTTGATCCCCCCCCGTCCGCACCCCGGCAGGCACTGTGGTCACATCAGGGCAGCCGGGGGCGCTGATGTCAGCCTGGGCCGAAGAGAAGCATGGGATCTGTGCTCAACAGCCCTTCCCCCCCAACAGAAACAGGAGGCGACAACTGTCCAGCGGTTTGTTGCGTGCTCAATTCACTCTCCCGCAAATGTAGCGAGTGGGCAGGCAGGGATTCAACAACATGTTCTGTTTTGCGGGCACCAGCGCGAGCAGTTTTGACCATGTCGCAAATGACCCTCTTTGGTCAATGGCAAAGAAGACGATCAACGTCACAAAAACGCAATCGTTCCACGCATCAGCATGATGCTTTTCTTCCACTTGTTACAAAGGAATTCGGGGGTACTTATTGAGACGGTGTTGACATGGCAATTTGCTTTTGTTCGCGCCCTGCAGTACCCTGCGCGTTTCCATTCGATGGCACCCTGCTGACCTTTGCGAGGCACCCAGTCAAATTCGATTGATCGCCCAATTTGTCGTCTCTTTTCAAACCTTTATCCGTCCATCGTATTCTGTTGGTTGAGCCAAACTTTCAGACCTACTTGAATGGCAATCTTGTGGTGGATTTGTCAACATATCAATCAGGTGTTTTCCCAAACTCGGGAAGCAGTTTCTGCTATTGAGAACGCTCTCATGGCCAGCGTCCAATCCTTACACCCAAAGTGCATGTGTCGGTTTTATTCTTTTTAACACCACCAAACATGTGCCTGCGATCGCCTCTTGCTTAACCCACGCCGGGTTTCCCGAGGTGCCCACGCCCATCCGCAGCACCAGCGCGCCACATCTGCCAGGCGAGAAATGGGTACGCTTCGCACGGAGAGATGTACTGAAGGGATGCTTCAAAGGCCGTATGAGGTTTGGTCAAGATTGGTCGTCTACGGGTTCATTTGGGAGGGCCACGGGGGTGACTCCCCAAATTTCCGATGTCCTTGTGGGGAAACAGGTGTCAAGCAACTTTGGCTCGGCTTCGAGGAGCCGTTCTATGGGCTAAACCGACACCCGGCGAGCCCTCCTGCCGTGTCAGCTTTCTGGAGCCGACTTTGCAACGGCATGCACGAAGGCCAGAAGAAAACACCCAGGCATCTAGGCTCCAAAGCCAAAGAGAACGCAGGCCAAGACTTCCTCTTCTGGATTGCAATGGTTTCTGCTTTTGTGATAAGGAACCGCTCTTCGACAGAATTAGTTATGCAGCGGGAACATGGAAGTGGATTCTATTTTACACAGCCCACTTTCCTGTAATCCCCCCCCTTTCGGATGGTTTCAACCAAGCAGTCCTTTTAAGAGGAAGCCGATCTTGCGGCGGTTTGCAGGGGCTCTGCTAGAAGGGTACACCCTGGGATTAGTTGCCCGTGTTCCGTGGATCCAGCGCAACCAAGTCCGTTTCTCGCTTCCCGCTTCCGGCAACGGCTGACCTTGGTGGCCCATAGCTGGAATGGGGTGCTGTGGGAAGTCCATCGTTGGGATACCCTTTGGGAATACGAAGCGAGAATGTCAAGAAGATGAACTTTTCACAGAAAAGGGTTGTTTCTGCAACCATGACGGGTATGTTTCAAAATCAGGTCCAATAGGCCCCTCCACAATGTTGGTTCCCGCTTCAAGAAAGCGTTTAGCCGCCCTTTGCATCACAAAGAAGGTCAAACGTTTTGTTTTGCAAAGGAAACGACGACACTTGCGCTTTGGTACATGTCCCTAGTACATGCTTTTACAGTTCAAAGGGGGACATACCCTTCCTCACCAACACACCGTCGGGGGCACGGAACGGGGCCGACCGCTTTTCGAGGCGACCCAGCGAAGGCTGTGGAGTCGGGAGCTGAGATAGCAAAATAGGGCCTGACTTGAGAAACGCAACCAGACCCTGCCCACGATTGTGGGCCCCGGCCCAACCCTTGGAACCCCCAGAAAGGTGTGGGAGGACATGCAGAAAACATGTACAATCACATGTTGAGGATGGTCCCAAAGTATTTTGGTTGCCCGCGCCATTGGTTTTCGGGTATTGTAGGCATACGCAATTTTTAGCTCTGGATAATATCCACCGGCCATTCTTTGCGGGCAGGAGTTGCCCTTGCCGACTGGCATTGGAATGGGGTTTGTGGAACTTGCGGACCATCACTTGGCTTCTCTTTGGAGACTTGGCCACTCATTGGAGCATTGACCAAGTAAGTGGTTCCCTATTCACCAAAGCAAGTTGCGCTTCATGCGCTGGGAAAAGTGAGTGCTTTTCCACACCTTCCCTCCCACCAAGATAGCCCTTGCAAGTTTAAGGCACTTTATGCGCAAAGGGTGGGAACCACCCGAAAGTCGCTCAGTACTTAACGTGCAGAATTCATGGAGTGGGCGAGGAAGCTCGACTGCTGTTGTGGTATTGCAGGGCTTTGGCGATGTTCCAACGGCAAATGCGATCTGGCGAAATTCCTTTGATTCGATGTTGCTGACCCGTCCGTTTTTCCCATGGGAAAGGGTTCTGAATTGCACAGGGTTCCAGTTTTGAACACCCCAAACAACCGCTCCCGCTAAGGATTTCGCAACTATCACCCACATTGAAATTTTGTGCGTGAAACACATTGTCTTTGATCTGAAACTCTGCTATTCAACTTTGACCCCTTTCCACAACGCGGGGGGATAGCCTTGAACTGATCAAGGCACTACATGTCATGGCCCATATGAGCAGCCTCCAACGCCTGCATTGGCCGCAGCAAGCGGCTCTAGCATGTGTTGTCGTCACTATAGTGAGGCCTATATGGGCTGGTCTCAAAACGAGAACCCCGGCCCTAAACTAGGCGGTTTCCCCTGAAATCTTCCGGGAAACCACCACCAGTAAGATGCCCTCAAGCTGCACGGCCTCATAACCATCTTCCAAACCACTCCATTGGCATCAAGACATGACGTGTGGCACGAGATTGCAAAGATGTCAGCAGGAAGCCCGCTTTTTGAGGTTCCCAGTTTAGCCCAATACACAACTTGTTGGGCAAATCCTTCGGACGGTTCCATGGCATGGCCGAATTTTCGGGGTACCCCAGGCACATACCCCTTTAAGCTTCCGAGCCTTAGCTGGGTATGCCTTAGCCCACGTCCAAGGCAGGCGCCAGGACAGAGTCAAGAGGACGGGAGGGGAGAGCCGATGGGAAGCTTTCCAAGGTTTCACCGGACCCCAACACATCTTCCAAGGAGAACCCCCAGCAAAATCTGTGAAACTTTGAGCTGCGCTTTCTGGAAGCTCAAGAGCTGACCTTGCGAGTGCCAAAGCTATGGTATCAAAAGCTGCAGCTTGCCAAGCCACCTGTCTCCAGGTTTGGCTGGACGCAGAAATCGGTTTGGCTGAAGTGATTACACAACCTGCCTCCCTATTTGGAGGGCAGATGATTGCACTTTGGTTTGTGGGGTTTCAGCACAAGCTCGACGGAATCCCATACATAGGCACCCTACACCCCGGACCTCGTGAATAGCGACAATGTCAAATAACATCCCATGAGCCACATAGGCCGTAGCCTATGAAGTGAGTAGCCTGTCCAACGCGTGCACGTCTCAGAGGCCGTTGGCCGGTCAACACGCCAGCAAATGCGACGAAGCCTCCCCTCGAAGGTGACTCTTCTCATGAGCAAAGACGAGTCCGCCTATTCTGCCTCTTTGGGTGAAAGCCAGAAAATGGGCTCAATTCTCGGACGCCGCTTGGCGAAGAGAATGCCTTGAGTTTTGCATAGCTAGTGAGTTTCATCACCCATGGACTCAGTCTCAGTCGAAGGCCAGGAAGGGTCACAGCATGGTTTGCCTTGCGGATCCTCCAAGGTAATGCGGTTGACTTACATCGGACATCAAGAGTCGTTGGGGGACCTTCGTTTGAACCTCCAATTTTCTTTTCTCAAGACAGGTTGGGTTTTGGGGGTGGGAAAAGTGAAGGAACCTCCTAAGGTGAACTTCGGACTGTGAGGGCACCATCCATATCAGAGGAAGCTCTATCACTGCCAGGGATTCAATGAGATCTGGGCAGTTCCCACTAAGCCGCATCCTCTGGAAAACCAGAAAATCCTAAAAGGTCCCCACTTTGGTGGCTTCATGGCTTTGGGCCTCTCGTTCTTGGCGCCACTTTTCTTAGCCAGAGCCGCCGGGACCCTTGAGCGCTGAAACCGCAGGGATCCCAGGCCACGTGGCCCTGGCCAGGGCCAGGGCATCATGAACCACTTGCCCTGGCTGGCAGCGAAACGGACCACGCCGGGGCCCGTAGAATTGTCGGAGGTGTCGGCGTTTTTTGTTTTGGGCGGGTATATGGTTTTTGGGTGGGTTTGGAGGGAAGGCCAAAGAGAAGCCACCAATTTTGATCCAGGTACGGGTCATCTATTCGGAGACGAACCCATGAGAAGTGTTGCGGCTGACCTGGCTGGCGGATACGGGACATGGATGCCAGTTTTGCCACACACGAACAAGTGAAGAGTTGGGAGGTTCACGGAACTAGCGAGTCACCCTTTTGAACATTAGGGGAAGGAAGCCCCAACAGGGTCCTGCAACAGAAAAATCCTGTGCTTTCACGGGTGTTGTTGGAGTTACTGTGAATATTCAGGGGAGCAGATTGTCTGTCATGGACTTCTAGAGCATCACTTTTGTGAAAGGGCCACAGTTCAAAAACGCTTTCCAAGGCGCGTGATTGTTTTTCCCCGGGGTCTCAGCCCAGATAGGGTCCGGGGTGGTCCGGGGCGGCCCTGAGGTAAGGTTCCACGAGGGTTCCACGAGGGTTCCAGGTTCTACGAGGGCAGCGGGGTGGTCTGGGGTGGTTTGAGGCAAGGTTCCACGAGGGTTCCACCAGGGTTCCACCAGGTTCCTCCAGGCTTCCACCAGGTTCTGCAAGGGCTGCGGGATGGTCTGGGGTGTTTGAGGTAAGGTTCCACGAGGGTTCCACCAGCGTTCCACTGGGTTCTGCGAGGGCTGCGGGTGGTTTGAGGTGAAGTTCCACGAGGGTTCCACCAGGTTCTGCAAGGGCTGTGGGGGGTCCAGGGAGGTTCACCAGGGTTCCACCAGGTTCTGTACGGGGTGGTCCGGGGTGGTTTGAGGTAAGGTTCCACGACAGTGCCACCAGGGTTTTACCAGGTTCTGCAAGGGTGGTTTGAGGTCATTCCGCCAGGGTTCCACCAAATTCTGCGAGGGCTGCGGGGTGGTCCGGGGTGGTTTGAGGTAAGGCTCCACAAGGGTTCTCCACCAGGGTTCCACCAGTGTTCCACCAGGTTCTGCGAGGGCTGCGGGGTGGTCCGGGGTGGTTTGAGAAGGTTCCACAAAAGCTCCGCCAAAGTTCAACCAGGGTTCCACCATTGTTGCACCAGGTTCTGAAAGGGCTGCGGGTTCTGAGAGGGGTGTGGGATGGTCCGGGTCGAGGTAAGGTTTCAAAGATATCCACAGAGTTCTGCGAGGATTCCACAAGGGTTCCACAAGCCTCCAAAAGCTTCCACAAAGGTTCCGCAAGGTTCCATGGTTTGCCCTAAAGAAAAATAAGCTCGGGCGATATCCCCAACAGCACCACACCCTCCCAGAATCCTCGCGGAACTCCCCGCGCCGGTGTTGCTGAGGATGCCGCCTTGTAAAGCAAAGCTACGAGTGACAGCGCAATCTCGCCCTCATCGGAGCCCGACGGTGCAGTCGGGGGCCGATCGGGGCCCGACGGCGCAATCGGGGCCCGATCGGGGCCCGACGGCGCAATCGGGGCCCGATCAGGGCCCGACGGTGCAATCGGGCCCGATCGGGGCCCGACGGTGCAATCGGGCCCCGATCGTCCCGTGGTGCAACCCCAGCCACCCATATTATAGCTCAACGACGGTTTTTTTTAGCATGCGGATTGCAATTGTATCCATAGCAAAATACAATTGACGGGGCCCGACGGCGCAATCGGGTGCAATCGGGGCCCAATCGGGGCCCGACGGTGCAATCGGGGCCCGATCGGGGCCCGGCGGTGCAGGGGCCCGACTGAGTCGGGCCCCGATCGGGGCGCCATGGCGCAATCGGGCTGCCCCCGGAATTTGGTGGAAACCTTCTGACCTCCTAGCCCTCGCAGCCTCGTGGAAGAACCCAAAGCCCACCAAGCAGCAATGCCAAGCATTTACTCTGCTGCACCGTGAGTTCCGCAGCGACGTGATCTGATTTGCCACAAAGCCAATATTTGCCTGAGCAAGTGAGCAAGTCACAAAACAGTGAAAGTGTGCTAAAAACCATTGATTTCGGTTTTGCTTAGCGTTCCGCCCATGAGCAAAGCGATCTTGATCCGATGGCTTTTCAGACGACGGGCGCACGACACACCCTTGGTGGAGCATTGTGGAGCCCGTGTGGAATCCTTGCAGAGCTGTGTGGAACCCTGTGAAACCTCATCAGGGCCCACAGCCCTCGCAGAATCTTGTGGAACCCTGAAACCCTCATACAACCACCCCGCAGCCCTCGCAGAACCTCGTGGGACCCTGTGCTGGAATGGAACCAAACCTTGCAAAACCTGGTGGAACATTACCTCAAACCAGCCCGGACCGCTGGTGGGTGGAACCTTCCCCGGACCACGCCGCACCCTCGAAGAAATTGGTGGAACCTGGTGGAACCCTCGTCCGGAGCACGACGGGCTGGTGGAACGCTCGTGGAACCTTACCTCAAACCACCTCGGACCACCCTGCAGTGGAACCCTCATGGAACCTTACCTCAAACCACCCCCAGCCCTGGTGGAACCCTCTGGAACCTTACCTCAAACCACCCAGACCACCCCGCGAACCCTGGCGAAACCCGATTGCACCGTCGGGCAATTGAGCTATAAAATTGGTGGCTGGGGTTGCACCACGGGACGATCGGGCCCCGATTGCACAGTCGGGCCCCGATCGGGCCCCGATTGCACCGTCGGGCCCTGATCGGGCCCGGTTGCACCGTCGGGCCCCGATCGGGTCCCGATTGCACCGTCGGGCCCCGATCGGCCCCGGGCCCCGATCGGGCCCCGGTTGCGCCGTCGGGCCCCGATCGGCCCCCGATTGCGCCGTCGGGCCCCGATCAGGGCGAGATTGCGCTGTCACTTGTAGCTTTGCTTTACAAGGCGGCATCCTCAGCAACACCGGCGCGGGGAGTTCCGCGAGGATTCTGGGAGGGTGTGGTGCTGTTGGGGATATCGCCCGAGCTTATTTTCGATCTGAGGCTCTGAAGGCTCCAGGGAAAGAGCTTGTCTTGCTTTGGGAACTCTGAAATGTTTGACTCCTGAAAGTCTGGTTCTGGGCAGCTGGGGAGTTTTATTCCTGAGTTGTTTTGGGTGGTTTAATTTGGTTTCGTGCTGGGGGACGGCCTGGGGCGGCCTGGTATTTCTTGTCGATTGCTTAGTTTAGCATTCGGCGAAAAAGGGGTCTGGCTGGCTCAGAATTTTATGAATCCGGACCTAATCCTAATAATAAGACTTAAGTGGGCATTACGCATGCTTTTTGAAGCGCCTTTAGGGGTCCAGGTATGAAGCGATGTTTTCTGCTTTGGGATTTAGCAGGTTTTGACAGATGGCCAGATTCGGTTCATGTTTGGTGAAGATGTGTTGACTCAGGTCTAAGAAACTTATATCCATATCCCCAAACAGCTAGCTTGACTGATAGTGCTTGATTAATCTATCACATACAAACTTATTTATTACTATATCAACAAGGATTCGATGATGCTCACTGGCATGCATGAATGAATCCTTTACATGGGATGACCATTGTTTGGAGAACCACCAAAACGATTTGACATGTCAACCAAGCGGCAAAAGTCACCCATGGTTATTTGGGGGGGCCGAAGGGAATATGGATCACCCCCCGAGTGTCAACATCCGGAGAGTTTTTGAGCTCAGGCTACTACAGCTCATGGCGGAGTGGTCACAGAGCCAAGGAGCCGGGGAGGGCTCCTGGGCTCTCTAAACGAAAAGACAGACGTCGCCGTCCCCCCCCCCCCCCGATTTAAAGGGCGACCCCCAAAACAAGGTCTTTTTTGCGCAAGAGCGGCTTCACCATGATGAACCGAGCGCGTTTGCCCAACTCTGGGATTTTTTTGGTTGCTGTGCTCTCTGACCCAGGTTTACCTGGAGGCTGAGAGAACACTCCTCGAGGGCATGGGTGAAATTGGTGCAAGTCAGACCTCCCGCCAGGCTTTGCCCCCAACGCTTCAGGAAATGGGCTCTGGAGGTGGCAAGACGGGCTGGAGAGTTTTGGGACGAGCCGTCCTCCAAGCTGTTACTTTGGAGGGACATGTCATTGAGACCACCTGGAGGATGTTGCGTTAGCAGGCCCTGTGTCAAACGAACAGAAACGAGGTTAACCAGCACAGATGTCCTGCCAATGCCCACTAGTTTGCAGCTTAGAAAAAAACGCGTTACCGATTTGCCCTGTGAACCTCCCTCAAAGATCCTTAATTATTCGGGCTTGTGAATCTTCGTAGTGCAGATCTGCTTGAAGAAGCCAAGCAGAGTACAGAGTACCGATTTTGCCAGCCCATACCGATCCAGGAGTGCTGGACGATCTCACGGGTCAGCTGAAACGCCTCGGCCGTGACCTAAGACTTGGAGACCCCTCGAGACTCATGTGCGCCCGGATATTGTTGTCCTAAAAGGAGCACACGCAAAAAAGACGCCCCGTTTGCTTCCGGAGCTGTTTCAGCATCGCTCAGTGCAGCATTGAGGCCGGGACCGCGGGCCAGACCAGGGCCCCAGCGAGCTCGAGCGCGGGTGCTCGGGGGAAGGGATGCAGGGGGGCTGTGGGCGACGGAACAAGTCAGGGGTCCTTGATTCCCCTCGAAAAGGGTCTGGGTTAAGTCAACTTGGGTGATCAACAAAATGGCGCCCTCGAGCAAACATACCGAGTAAACACGAATATATGATATAAAAGAACACGCCCCCATTCTTCAGTCAAAGCAACATGAGAGCATTGATTCTCTCAAGATGCAGGCTCGGCCTGTTTTGCAAGGTAGAAACCAAAACAGAGCTCGCCGATGGCCGCTTGCAGCTAGCTGTTCATCTCCAAGAACATTTTTGGATGCGTGCCGGTGTTTCGTCAACGTAAGCGCGCAAGTCCAAGAGCGAATGCCACTCGTCAACCAGTTCGCCTCCTGCCAACTCGACGAAGGTGGCTCACACCATCTCTGAAGGGTCCTGATCGAAGCCGGATATGAGATGATCCTCACGGCGCTTGCGGAAGCCTGCGGCTTCCTGGGAAGCAGTTGGGCCATTGTCAGTAGACACCCCCTCTCGGTGTAGAGAGACAGCGTGGTGATAATTTCACCGCCTGCACATTGGTTTGCGCATTTGGTTCCATTCTGGCCTCCGTGCGCTGCAGTCAATTCCATGTAACGATCGCTGAAGAACAACAGGGGACTCTAAGCCCTGCCCTCAAGCAGTACCAACTAACGTCAACCCTTTGGAGGAACAAACTTGTTCTCTGGAACAGCCAGGTTCCAAGTCCGTTGGTGGGAGGGTACCTGACTAAGTTCGTAGACACAAACACTCAGTTCGATGCGATAAAGGATATCTAATCAAAAGGCAGAAGAAGGATGATCAGAGTGATTGATAGTAAGATTACCGAAAGCAATCACAATTAAAGACGTTGCATCAGTTGTAATTATTGAAGAGTACGCCTCTAAGAAGTGTGTGTTTAGTTTGTTTCCATGACGTTGCACAAAGGAAACGCAACTCGAATGTCTGCTGAAGAGTAACGGCAAGCAAGACAAAATGCTGAAGCCATGAAGCAAGGGCAAGCGGAAGCTGCAGCTTGAGCCGCGGAGATGGCAGAAAGGCAACGCGTGCTGGTACGTCAATTGCTTGACAGCGAAGCCCTTGAACGATTGAACACAGTTTGCCTCCTTAGGCCTGAAAAACAGGAGAAAGTTCAGAACATGATATGAGAGGCACGCATGAATACTTGGTTCGGCTAAAGATTACGTTGTTCAGATGGCTTCCGGAGCTCGTCACATGCAGAAAGTTGATGATGGGACCTTAGTACGGTTGAAGCCCCAAATATTGCAAGTGCGGAGCAGAACAAACAGAGGGCACGGTCCACCAAAAAGAAGCACTGCGACATGACATCTGCGGCCCCCCTCCCCTGCTACAGTGCTGAACTTGCAATATATCGGGCCTTGGAAGACGGGTTACGCGCTTGGATTCAACATTGTAACGGGGGGAGACGGGCCCGCACGGAAGCGGTGTCAACATGTGCCTTGGTTGCGCTTGCAATACTTAGAGCTTCCACTGTATTGATTTTAGAGAAGCTTGATAGTCTAGACATGAAGAACAAAGGGACCGTTAAGAGTCAACGACAGAGGATAGACGATGACGACATCAACTTCTTGACCTTGAGTGATACATTCAAGCTGATGCAGTTGAATCCCTATTTCTGTGTCGGTAGCGCACCAAACTGACTAAACTAAAACGTCCTTTCGTATGCATGACGTAGTTTTTTTGTTTGGCTGCAGTTGTTCACGTCCATCATTTGAGGGTCCGGCAGTAGCAAAACTTCCGATCGATGCCGATGCACACATAACTAAGTAAATGAACAAATCAAGTGATAGAGTACATAGTTTGATAGACTATTTAAATGAACAAGTAACAAAACACTACATAACTAAATAGATGAACAAACATGTAAACTTTAGAGCCTCCGGCTCAGTCCGCCGACATTGTCCTCTCCCTTTTCTCCTTCTTCCTCTCTCCCTTGTCTCCCTGGTGTGTTCTGTCGTCCTCTCTCCCTCCCTCCGCTCCCCATCCTCCCCATCCCCCGAAGCCACTCTCTCCCCAGTCTCCCTCTCTCGTATGTATGTATGTATGTATGTATGTATGTATGTATGTATGTATGTATGTATGTATGTATGTATGTATGTATGTATTTATGTATGTATGTATGTATGTATGTATGTATGTATGTATGTATGTATGTATGTATGTATGTATGTATGTATGTATGTATGTATGTATGTATGTATGTATGTATGTATGTATGTATGTATGTATGTATGTATGTATGTATGTATGTATGTATGTATGTATGTATGTATGTATGTATGTATGTATGTATGTAATGTATGTATGTATGTATGTATGTATGTATGTATGTATGTATGTATGTATGTATGTATGTATGTATGTATGTATGTATGTATGTATGTATGTATGTATGTATGTATGTATGTATGTATGTATGTATGTATGTATGTATGTATGTATGTATGTATGTATGTATGTATGTATGTATGTATGTATGTATGTATGTATGTATGTATGTATGTATGTATGTATGTATGTATGTATGTATGTATGTATGTATGTATGTATGTATGTATGTATGTATGTATGTATGTATGTATGTATGTATGTATGTATGTATGTATGTATGTATGTATGTATGTATGTATGTATGTATGTATGTATGTATGTATGTATGTATGTATGTATGTATGTATGTATGTATGTATGTATGTATGTATGTATGTATGTATGTATGTATGTATGTATGTATGTATGTATGTATGTATGTATGTATGTATGTATGTATGTATGTATGTATGTATGTATGTATGTATGTATGTATGTATGTATGTATGTATGTATGTATGTATGTATGTATGTATGTATGTATGTATGTAATGTATGTAATGTATGTATGTATGTAATGTATGTATGTATGTATGTATGTATGTATGTATGTATGTATGTATGTATGTATGTATGTATGTATGTATGTATGTATGTATGTATGTATGTATGTATGTATGTATGTATGTATGTATGTATGTATGTATGTATGTATGTATGTATGTATGTATGTATGTATGTATGTATGTATGTATGTATGTATGTATGTATGTATGTATGTATGTATGTATGTATGTATGTATGTATGTATGTATGTATGTATGTATGTATGTATGTATGTATGTATGTATGTATGTATGTATGTATGTAATGCAATGCATGTATATATGTATGCATGTATGTATGTATGTATATATGTATGTATGCATGTATTCATGTAATGTATGTATGTATGTATGTATGTATGTATGTATGTATGTATGTATGTGTATGTATGTATGTATGTATGTATGTATGTATGTAATGTAATGTAATGTAATGTATGTATGTATGTATGCATGTAATGTATGTATGTATGTAGGTCTGTCTGTCTGTATGTATGTCTGTATGCATGTATGTATGTATCCTTGCACTTCCCCTTGGCTCCCCAGTATTTCCCGCAAAATACACGGTTTTTCTAGCGTTTTCGCAAAGAGGATGTCCAAAAACACAGAGTTTTGCCAGATTTTCGGCAAAAGGATGCAGGAAGCCCAAGCCAGCAAAAAAGCCGGCAGGGGGAATCGAGCCTGGGACCCCTGTTTTGCGACACCGGCTCCCCGAAGACTACGTTTAGTGGAACGTCATCAAATTGCCGCGCGGTACGTGGGGGACCCCCCCCCCCCCCCCAAAAACCTACGTAATAGACGTCGGGCGGGGGGGGGGTTAGGGGGGGGGGTTATCCTCTATCCTCTCTTAGGTATCCGACACGCCGAGCAATGTCGGCGGATTCATGAATGGATAGGGTAACGAAGAAATAGATACATAGAGGGTTTGGTTGGAACTGTGTGCTTGGAATACTGGCCAAGCCGGGGCGCCTCAAGGGGTGGATCTGTTGAACTGGCCGCGTGCTTATTCGGTTTCGTTCGGTGGTGAGCATTTCAATAAGGACACACACACAGAGGCCATAATCATTACAACGATGCAGGGGGTTCCCTTGAGCCGGGGGCTGTGGAAATATCCCTCCCGGTTCCCATGCTGACAACTTGCAGGTAGCGTCTACTCCCAAGCCACCCAGCCCGTTTCGCCATCTCAGCCCAGGACGGGCCTTCGGCAGGTCATCGCCATGGTCAGCCTGGGCCCAGTTGACAGCGTGGGGAGGACTCGTGTGGGAAGACCCCCCCACCCCCCTTCTGTTAAATTGCAACCCACAAGGGCTGCTTGACCCGAGGGAAGTCGAAGCAACAAAAAGCAATTCTGATCTGAGGTGTTGACTGACATAGAACCTGGCAATGACAAACGAGTGTTTGGTTCAGTATATTGTTGGACGCTTTCCTTAGCCTGGTATCCAGAACGTGCAACCAGTCAAGTGACCAATGGACGAATTTGCGAGTGTAACCCGCAATAGCTTCCTTCTCTCCTTCCTTCTGCTACATATTTCTGTTTCTGGGTTTCTCGTCTTTTGTTTTTCTTCTTCCTTTTCTTCAAGTTCCCATACGCTATGTCCCCAACGTCTCATGAATTCCGACCGAACTTCTGACCTCCAAGCTTGAGCTCTCTACGTGTGATATTTGCGACCCGACTTGAGGCACACGGCCGAAAGAACGCATCGTTGGCCGAGTTTCAGTGTATCAAACTTACCATCAGCACAGTTGAGTCTCGGCAAACAGGCGAATTGCTGCTCAGAATTGCCAGTCTTCGGCAATCAAGCAGACTTCTTTTATTGACCGGCTTTTGGAATCCAGCATGAAGTCCCATGGCAATTCGCATTTGACTAGGTGACTAGATCACTCGGGCTGTGAAGTCGGAGAGTATCGATTTCCATTGTCCCGGCAGTCTCTTGCTTACTTTTTGGGATGTGACGCTGGGCACTGTCTGTGATGGCACTCCAGTTTTTTTTCATGATTGATCCAAACTGTCTTTGGGTTTGCAATCTTGTTTGCAATTTGTTATACCCCCTTCATTGGGTGTTTGCCGTTTTGTCGCGATGGTCAGCCCTTCCCTGTATTTTGCACTTTTGCAGTGTGCATGGTCTGCAGCTTCGTGTTCTCGTGATGCGTCGCGCCTCGCCTCTGGCCAGTTGTTAGTAGTATGCCAGGGGCCTCGTCTGCATTCTGCACCCCAAGCACACAGTCGAGCTGCAGGTGAACCAACCGCCCCTCCGAAACGGGGTTGTGCTTTGACGAAGACCTTTTTGGAAACACACATATGCCCAAAAAGCGTAAGAGTGTCTAAATGTGTTTGTTTTTTGGCCCGAGCTAGGTAGGACCCCACCTATTGGCTCATCCTGAAAGGCGGGTTGTTTGAAAGGGACCAAACCTCTCTCAGCGAGTGGTCGAGGTGACATCGGCTGATTTAGGTGATATTGGCTGGAGGCTCAGCCCTCCCAGAAGCCAGCGTCCTGAAACGTCGGTTTCAGTTCAGGAGTGTGGGGTCTCCTTTGTAAGGGTGCCCCTTCTTGGGCTGTTTAAGGGAGGCGGCAAAGCGAGGGGAGAAAGCCCAAACCCAGCAAAGATACCTTGTAGAGGTGCTCAGGTTTGTGTTATGCGTTGGGCACTCCGGATGAACAAAGCTTCACTTCCAAGCAAGCAAAACCGTTCTTCCGTGCCAGGCACCGAGAGTAACTTATCGAATGGCCTTACCTGGTGCAATACGCTACGCTCGTACGCTCGCCATGGCGGCCCTGCCGCGCGCCTGCAGAGCCGCGTTGGGGAGCGCTCACTTCCAAAGGCGGGCCACTTCTGGGTGTGGGTTGGCGGGGACTCGACACCAAGTGTCTTGAACGTTTTCTTGGAGCAAGTGGGGGCTGAAAATTGCTCTTTAGTGCTTCAGCTAAGTGGGCCAATCTACATTCACAGGCCTGCAATGGTAAAAGCAGGGCCGAACCAGGATTTCCTCGCACCAGGGTTCCATCGAAACAAACATGATTTTCGGAGGTCCACGAAAAGAAGACACCTCTGTCTTCACCATGGCCTTTGGGGACGCTGGCGACATTTTGTGCGGCCTTTTCAGGGTGTACCTAAACACCTCTTCTTGGATGCTAGTCAAGGACGAGCAATTGGAGGGGCCAATTTTAGAACAACAGGTCTCTGTTCTTGGTACCCGTAGTTGAGCGTTGGATTCACCAGACCAGCTGGTAGAGCATGACTGAGCTGGGTTCCCTTTGATCCCCTTCAAAGGTGGTATCAGCACCCCCATTGGGGCCAATTGACAATTGAAAGTGAGTTCCCTCTTGGTGGGGTGAAGGTTTTGTTTTTACTTTGTTTCCTGTGATAATATAGGTTGTATCCTTGACATACTTCTGGATGCGTCCTAAACATATCTTAAACTAGTCGGACCTTGATTTAGATGGTGTTCAAAGGCAAACCAAAAGGGCGCCAACCAGCTTTTAACACTCCCCATATAAGATACCCTTCCCAACACAAGATGTATTGTGCCCGTTGTTTTTTTCACTAGCCAAGATCCTCCCAAATGCATGTGTCTCAATGTACATTTACTGCCATCCCTTGTTGGGCTTCCATCCCAACATGGGGTATATTCCCCGTTTTGCATCGAATTTAATGGACCTCAATTGGAAGGTCATTTAGGAAGTATGTATGCCTGTCATTTGGATCTCAAAGTTATCGACCCGTGGTCGGTCTTGGAAAACATCCCGGGGGGTCGACATTTTCCGAGGCGCTGGTCTCAGGCGCGCGTCGGGAGCTCCGAGCACTTGGGATGTGCAACCTGCTATTTGAGTACCAGAATTCGACCGCATCCTGTCCTTGCCCTAAAAAGGAGCAAGCCTAGGCTGTCATGAGTAACCTGCCTTGTTGGCGCGCTATGGGAGCAGCTAATCATGAGCATGTGAGGTACAACCAATGGTGGCATTACCTACTAAGAGGTTGAGCATCCAAGAAAGCGGCTGATTCGCCTTCTTTGTTCTCGATATGTTGTTCGGCTTTCTTGCCTTTCATCTTCTTGAGTTCGGTTCATTTGTAGTGGGGGCCGCAAACAGCGTGCTTTGTTGCCAACGTGTTTCTGGGGAAAGTTACCTTGGCTTCAGTTGTGGAGAACAGCTGACAAAATGTACCCCCGCCCCTGCTTGAAAGGGATTGTCGATTTGAGATTACCTTTGTCTACACAAAGGTTCCCCCTCCATATGTGTTGGATTGCTCTTGGAGGAGATATCCTCCCACCCACTAACATGATAAATGGAACCTAACCGGGGGCTGCTGGAACACCATGTCTTCCAAAAAGACAGTGTCTGGTTAGTACCAACATGGTCTGACCCCGCGCTAGCCAGGATCGTCATCCAAGGGGGGCAGGCCCTCTTTATCATTTCCCTTGCGTCGCAGGGTAACCCACGCAGGATACCATGTGTCTTGCAAAGGTTTCAATTGTGCAAGTCACCAATATGTTCCCCTCGTAGATCGTTTCAAGCAAGTGGTGATGCCGAGTGAGTTTCTTAAGAGCTCAATTTTGCTGGCAACACTTTACAGTACATGACCTTGACAAGAAGTGAACATTGTCCGTGTCACGCCTGCTGGACAAAGTTCCCCAAAGACAGATGCCGAGTAAATTCAACCACTTGGCCGCTCCAGGGCTTGTGCACAAACCCAAGAAGCAACCCGTCATCCTCCTCAAAGTTGTCGTCATCCTCCTCAAAGTTGTGCATGACTCGTATGCATTGGCAAAAGAGGGGCTCTTCAATGCCCATGGCTTTCGGGTGCCCAAGACGCAATCTTCAACACGGGGGCCCTGCGCTGAATTAGGCCTATATTTGTACTCGCCAACAGCTACTCACGCTTTTGTTGTGGGCGGTTCTTTTTGTTGTGTTTTTTTTGTTGTTTGTTTGTGTGTGCAGTTCTGCAGGTCTTAGCAGAGGCTCATGTGCACCGACGCCCTGTGCCTCGCTTGAAATGAACGGGGAGGCTGAGGCAGGGCTAGGAGGTATTCGAGAAGGTCAGCCAAGCACACACGAACAACAAATCCAAGCACCCACGACTGACCATGGAATCCGCACGGGCTCCCCCTTCACAAAAGCCAAGTTGGTTTCAATTTGTTTTGTACGCTTCCATGTTGTCGGGAGGGTATTTCCAGACTGGCCAGTGAGGTTGTTTCTCTGGCCGCATGTTGGGACACACTGGACTGCTTGCCTGCATGAGAAGTTTGGTTGCCTGAGATTTAGCAAGGCATCTCTGTGATCGAGGGCTGTTGCTCCGGGTCAATGTTGGTTCCGGATGGATGGCTGATGAACAACATGCGGCAAGGAGAGGACACCCAGCTTCCGCCCAGCCACTATACCGATCCTTATAGAAGAAACAAACCATGGCCAGCTTTGATTTTTGTTGATGCTTGGTATTCCAGGAGAAGCACAGGAGGTGGGCGCTCAGAGACCATTCCTTTGGGTCATTGTCCCTTAACAGCGGCAGCTATGGGGTCTTGGACCAATGTGGGGTTGGCCCTGGGTGGCAGAACCCTCGAGGTGAGCACTGTTAGCAGTTAGCAACCGGGTGAGCCCAGAACCTCTGAACTGGGTGTTTTTTTTTTTTTTTTTTCAGGGTCCCCTCTTTGGAGCGGTTTAAAGGCGGATTGGCAGGACACCACCCATTTTTGCTCGGATTCCGAATCTTTCAAGCCACCTCAAATGTCCAATGGGGGAGACTTGGACGTCTCGACGCGCGCGTGTGAGGTGCGCTCGGTGAACTTCAGCAGATCGGGCTCCCAGCTGTGCACCGGCTCCGAGGACGGCATGGCGAAGGTCTTTGAACTGCCCTCGGGGCGCCTGCTGAAGGAGCGAAGGGTGGGAAAGGCCGTTCCCCCAAAAGGCCAGCGTGAGCCTCGAAGTGGAATGTAGCGCAATTACGTGGGAAACTGGGATGGTGACCCAGATGCAAGGCCCTTTGTGAATTGTCTTTTGAGCACACCAACACGGCTGACCTTTTTTCAGCTCCGAACGCCATCCTGCCGCCTTTGTTTTGGGGCAGGGACCAAACCAACACGAGGGATCCTCCCCGAATCCGGAACCAGCGCGCGACGAGGAGGTGGACCACCACAGCACCATCTGGTGGTCGGACTTCAGCGCGGACGGCGCGTTGCTCTGCACCGCCTCGGACGACCGCTCCGTGCGGGTCTACGACTGCGAGACCTG